AGGAATATCAGACCTTGAGAGGTGTCCCTGCTCAGGGAGAGTCACCTGGAATGAGTCCAGGGAGAGCTCAAATTGGGCCTGTCCTGATGGCAATATTTATAGACTGAAGCAGTTGTCTGCTAGTCAGTAGTATAGACAAGATGGATGTCTTCATTTTAGCTTCAGTATCTTGTTCCATACATTGGTTGTCTTGCATTTTGGGGCTTTGAAAACACCTTTTGAAATATTTTTCTGAGGCATCTTTGCTACCTTGTACATGAGCCGGGAGCTCTCCACCTCGTAGTTCACCCCAGGGCGGGAGGCCTGTTGCTCCTTTAAAATGCAATTTCTCTGACAAAAATGCATAAGCAAGCCAGGGTGGGAACTGTAAACTTGGAGCTATGACACAGACCTGACTTCTGCCACACATGAAAAAAAGGAAGAGACTGTGTCCCTCCTTGCCGCAGCTCTGGGAATGGAGTAAGGAAATGGCTCCTCACCTGCATGGGAGGTGCGGGGAGGGGCGGGAGGCGGCTTCGCCCCTGCCGTGAGCGGCGGAGGGGCCCGCGCTCCACTCGGCTTCCCTTTTGTCGCAGTCCCGCTCCCTCCCTCCGCCTCAGGGGAGGCGCTGCCCCGCCGGGCCTGCAGTGGCGGGAAGGCAGCGGCGCGCTCCCCGCCTCGGGCGGCCTCCTGGGGCGGTGGGACCGGGCAGCTGCGGTGCTCGGACGGGTGCTCCTGGGGGAGCGGTTGGTAAGTGCTCGGGGGGCTCCGCGGGCGGGGAAACGAGGGAGTGGCTGCGGCGGCTTGAACGGGGAAAACAGAAACTTCGCCCCGTCTCCGCTGGGGTGTTTCTATGAGCAGGTGCCGCTGCTCATCAGTGGGCAGCTGTTAAAGCGTTGCAGGTAAAGGGTTCTGTATCCGTGCACGCTTGTTTAAGCGATTTACTTGCTTAATGTGCGTAGACAGCACCTTTTGTTAGAAGAAGGTGCGATATACACCGTATTGCTGTATTTGAATGACAGAAGGGATTCAGTTGCAGTCATACCGCTTCAGTAAGTGCGTGTTTAATACGAAGTCTTTTAATCTAAATACTAAAACATCTTTTAGTCGATAACGTGTGAACTGAACCGATTTCTGATGATTGCTGTTTTGCTCTAGATCCTCGAAATACAATCAAGGCTCCAGACACCGTCAAGACTCGGTGACCAGGGGATGGATTACTGAAGATAATGCTTTGCTGTGCTGTACTCGAGGGCATGTACGGCTGAAAGCGTAGGACCCCTTCCCTGGAGGCAGGCCACCGCTCTTCTCTTTCCCACCATGTGACCCAGCACACCTGCACAGCAAATAGTTTCCTGTTCTAAAGGTCGATACCACAATTATTTTTTTTCCCTCAGTACGTATGTATGAGAAAATGTATGGTTTTGCTTTACCTAGATTTCCCTTTTGCATTCCTTGTTATGCTAAATATCAGAAGCAATTTCAGTCTTTTTTTTTTAACCTAGTTAACTTCAAGCGTTCATGCTTTTCCAGTATTCTGTTGACTTTTTCAGACTAGCAGGATTTGAGATGACTGTATTGCTGCTTAGTGAAGAAGTTTTATTTTTAGAGGAAGCAATCTGTGGTGAGAATTTTATGATGCTTCCCAACTATATTGATGAAGACAGGAAAGTTTTGCATAAATAGCCTTTGCTTTTAGCAACAGGGATTTGTTGACCTATAAATTTTAGCAAGAGATTAAGCAAAAAACCTAATTAAATTTTGTTCTAATTAGACCTAGATTTTGCAGATACAGTTGTCTGCAAAAGAGGGTTCTTCACCTAGTGTGTAAAGAGCCAATTAACACACAGAGTTATTTGTGTTTGTTACAGTTCTGCCCAGGAAAGGGTGCTAGGCATCAGACTTACAAACACACACCATATTTATTTGATTCTGAACACACAAACCCACAACTCTGTGTAACTATTGGCTAGTTTTATTCCTCGCTTTCATTTAAAGTCACAGTATCTACCTATTGATGTACACAAGCTCAAAGGGTGAGGGGCTCTGTGAAGAGGTGGGTAACTTTAAGTTATAGAGGTGTGGTTTTTGTATTATAATGAGTTAAATTCACCTAAAGGACACAAAACCAGCTACTTCCCACAGCATGTTTTCAGATTACTTTTGCTGATAAATCTCAACTATACAATAGAACTAAGCAACCATAGATTTGTTTATAGCAATAGTGATCCTGGTTACAAAAAACCCTTAGATTCTCAGCTGCAGATTCTATGAGAAACATTTTCTTTTTGTCTTTTGCTAAGTTTTTGCTCTTTTATCCTTTTACAACAATACTGGTAAAACAATGTAATGAATTTAAGCATTATAGTTCTGGAAACTCTGTTAAGTGTGGATGAGGGGTTTTTTTTTTTGCATGTAAAGTGAATTTTCATGTTTTATATATAACTTTACTTTTGTTTGCCATTCAGCAAGCATTTTTCTGTAATGTTCATTTAATGCTTTAATTAGTATTTCTTCATTTAATTACATGCATCTGTACAGCATAAGAACATAAGCATGTAGGCTGCTAACGAGTTACATAAATCCTGATACTTCTCATGTTTGAAAATTAGGTACTATTGTGGCTGAAAGGGAACATTTTGCTGTTTTCAGTCTTTGGACTTCTGTTAATTCCTTCTTCTTTTTATCTAAAGAATGAGCACATGTCGATGGTGCACACTTAGTGGTTCTGACACCACTGAGTTCCTGAAGAGCTATGCTTCTAAACGGTTGTCCCCGGAAGATCTTGAAGGATCCAGTGATGATCTCTGTTACTGCTTGGAGTGTGTGGTTGAATACCACAAAGCAAAGGAAAAATTGCCAAGGTTGCATGAGGTAATTAAGAAATGTGGCTCCTGTGCCATTACTGAGGGGGAGGACTCAGAACTGAAGGAGAACTTCAGAAGAGACTTCTGTGGTCCAGCCTCAGTGTAGGGGAGAGTTTTGTGCAGGGGTTGTGTTTTATTGGTTTTTGGGAATAGGGTTTTAACTGTCTTCTTTTTTGATACTGTTGCAGAGAGCTGGTTGTAAACCAAAATTAATCTTGTTTTGCATATATTCAAATTACTGAGAACTAAAACAGTAGTGGGAAGTTGCTGACTAGACATTATAGCTTGAACTTTTTTCATGCTGTGTTGGTTTGATGTCTGAAAGAAAGAACACCTGCCAAACAACGCTTTCTTTCTTTAATGTATTTTCTTCCTTCTGCTGGCTTCTGTTCAGCTTTGGGTTTGTTCCTCTTCTTCTTTGTTTTAATTTCTCATCTGTAGTTTTGTACTGTGCTGGAATTTCAGAGATCTGATCTTGCAAGCCTGTGAGACTGTGTAATTAAAAACAATCCAAAAAGTTTTAAAACTTTGGTAACTCCCTCACTAGTATCCAATTTTGCATTTTGAAAAGCTTTTTTCCCCTTAGGTGCATGTGTATGTAAAATGAATGTTTGTAGCTAATTGATCATAATACAGATGTCAGAAATCTAGCTGATTTAGCTAGATTTCTCCAGAGGGCAATCCCACCTGAGCACAGATTGGAAATGAGTGGCTGGCCTGCTGAAAGTTCTTTTCTGTGTCTATTAAATGTAGGAAATAACCTTGGTTTCTAGTTTAGATTTGGAGCACTTTAGATGAGGAATGTTAAGTGAGCTGAATCCCCTACAAATATTCAGCAAGTCAGTCAGTCTGTTTGCATTATTTACATTCACTCCCTTCCACTAATACATTGCAAAATAGGTGAGAAAGCAAGATTTAAAAATTGCTTTTCCCATCTTTGTAAATAGGATTGTTTTCTGTAACATGCACTTCTTTATATTGACCAGTGGAACAAAGTTTTGTGACTAAACTATGGCCTGAAATAATTACTGAAATAGTTTATGAATATTTAACAGAATTATAGAAATGCTTTAGGTTTGAATGCCACTCTTTTAAACATTGCTTTATAAGCTTAAATTTGAAGTGAGAATTTTGTCATTTTCGCAATCTGAATTCCATGTCAAAACTTTGTTTCACGCCACGTTTGGAAAGAAACTTTTCAAAATTAAATTTTGAAAGTCTAGTTAAGGTTTTGGCATGTAATAATAAATAATCACTTTCTTCCTAAATGCACTTTGATTGGTTGTTTTTTTCCCCACTGAATAGGTCTTGTGGGAGCTGGAAACCTCCCGTCTTGTTGCCCACATTGAGAAATCCATGCAAGAAGAAGCTGGAGATGATGATGAGTTGTTTATAGTGGATGAGAATGGAGACACACAACTCTCTGGTTATGTGGGCCCAGATTTTGAAAATAACCTGCGAGTGCCCCTTATAGAAATGCTGAAATACCCATATCTGCTGCTGCATGAGAGAGTCGGTATGTATCTCATATATAGTTGGCAGGGAATGGTGGTGTTTCTACTGAAGAAGGTGAAAATAGCAAATAGTAGTTAAACAGAAATAAGTGTGTGTGTGTGTGTGTTATACTTATTTTGACACTAAATAGTGTGGTTTTGGTTTTGTGAGCATATAAATTAGTGCTTACCATAACTGTTTATCCTTTTAGCTGAGCTGTGTGTAGAAGTGCTCTGTAGAATGGAACAAAGTCACTGCTCCTTTCAGGTCTTTGAGAAATATGCGGGAATTTATCTCTTTTTGGTACACCCAAATGAACTGGTAAGTTACACTTTTCATTCTGCTAAAACTGAGTTTTAAATAGTATCAGAACAGATTCTTATTTTTAATTATACTGAATGCTAGTATTTTCATATTCTTATTTCAGGTGTTTGATTTTTCTGTATTTTTCTTTGTCTTTATATAAATGAGATTTCTACAGGAATGTAGTTGCTGTTGCTGAAGGAGAGAAGATTCTTTTGTAATAACTTCTAGAATCACTTCATTGTTTGCATTTAGTCAGCAGAAGTTACAGATGTTCAACCAAACTCTAAATTTATGCCCCATACTTCCAAATGGAATTCTTAAGTGGGTCTGGGTTTGTAACTTAACATATTAATCCCCTTCTTCCCTGTTCTTTCTCCATCCCTAGAAGCTTTCACATGTTAGTAATATTCAGAATCTTAAAATTGAAAAAATTGAGATTAGTGTAGTTACTTGCACGAGGAGATGCTCAGCAGTGTACTTCCTCTGAAATGCTTTTAATTGTCACTGAATTTTGTCATTATAAACGAGGCAATACAGTGTTTTAATGCATTTGTGTGTTCTGTGGTGAGACAGCTCAAAACTCTGCAGATCTTTTTTTTTTTTTTTTTTTTTTTTTTTTTTTTTTTTGGCCTGAATCCATATGGGATAGTTTCATATTGAACAGTCAAACAGTCAGAGGTCAAAAGTTCATTAGTTCATTTGAAAGTGTAAACAGGACTGCTTCATTCTTTGTGGCATTTAAAGTATCAGCTGATCTTAGTATGATTCATGCTGGTGTAGATAGTGGAGACTGCTCTCTTTTTCAATCCAGTCTCTTAAGAAAGTAACAAAAAGAGAAATTTTTGGAATACTGGAAATGTGTCTAGGTTGGAAGGGTTGAGAGGCTTTGCAGTTGTTACCAACAGTTCTGTTTTTTGCTGGTTAAAAGGATTTGAGAGATTTAAAAAAAAAAAACCAAACAACAAACCAACAAACCACCACCCCTGAGTTTCTCAAAGCAGTACAGATGTGTCTAGAGTTCCTGCTTTTCTACATTGTTTTGGAGATAATGTATTATCCAGCAAGAAGGGTGTTCCTTCAGACTACATACATGCATCCTAGAAGCGAAACCGATACCAGTAACAGGGAAGAGTACTGGAAAATAGTGATAATATAGAGATTTTAGGAACATAAGACCCTGCTACAATTGGGAGGGCCTGTTGAAACAGTGAATCCTAATTTCATGCACCGTGTTAATATTGAAGGGCGATGGAGTGCTTTCTTTGCGTGAGCTTGGAAATGTCCCTGTGTGGTGTGTTTCTGTAAACTGAATTTGGACGTGTAGCTGTCAAAGGGGCACTGAACTGTAACTCAAGTGGGCTGTTTGTTGTGTGAGTTCATACTATTGTTTTCCTGCCTCTTGATGTGCTTTGGAGAGTCAGGTTACATTGGCTGTGGCTGGTGGGCAGGTTGTGGCTGTACAGTTTCCAGGAGTGGCTTCCTTCAACACCAGTGGGGACTACAGATTTTCAAGTTGTCCTAAGTATAAGGCAAGAACAAAAACCAAATGCTGCCCCTTTGTCACATGAATCCCAAGGAGTTTTATTTCTATATATTACCCTGAATTTTAACTTCTTTGTTACCAACATCTCGTAAGTATAGTAAGCCTGTATCTAAGGTTATTTTGGAAAAAGACTAACTCTTACTTGCAATTACTGTAGTAAAAATACACTTTTGTCCATTTTGTAGTAGCAGTGATTCCTAATCTTACAGCATCGTGATTTTATTTGTTATTAATGTATAACTTTCTTGTTTCAATGCTTAGATTCGTCGATGGGCCATCCTAACAGCAAGGAATTTAGGGAAGGTTGACAGGGATGATTACTATGACCTACAGGAAGTGCTGACTTGCTTGTTCAGAGTTATTGAGTTGGGGCTTTTTGAGAGGCCAGATATTTACAGCTCTTCAGTGGTTGAGAAGGGTAAACTCATCCTTCTGCCATCTCATTTGTATGATACTGCCAACTACAAGAACTATTGGCTAGGTGAGTATTTATGATCAGAAATTAATTTCTACGTGTAGTCTCTCATCTTCTAAGCACTTCTTTGAAGTCAGAGTTCTACTATTTCATAGGGGCTGTATGCTTTGGGGCATGTTAAATAGGAAAATGGAATGTTGCACAGCTGCAGCAGTGAGGCAGCACTTAATTAGTTTTGGGTTGCTGCTGATCTCTTGTTACACTGGTAATGGCATTGGGAAATGATCCTTGATTTGGTGAAAGTTATAACAAAGTTTTGCAAATATACAGACAGGTTGCTTTTTTTTTTCGATAGGGATTTGTATGTTGCTGACAGTGCTGGAAGAACAAGCTATGGACTCCTTGTTACTGGGCCCAGACAAACAAAATGATTTCATGCAGTCTATACTTCACACCATGGAGAAAGAAGCAGCTGGTAACTAGTTTTGATACTGAGATTACTACAGTTCATAGCTTATTTTTCATCTTCATCAAACTTCCTTGTTTGATGAATAAATTCTTAGTAGTGTAATGGTGAGGTGGTTTTAACTGAAGCTTGTTTATTTTCTGGAGGATGGGCAGTATTGCACAATATTTAGGCAATACTGACAAATACTGAAAAATGAGTTTCAAACAAACTTTTAAATGGAGAAGGGTTGATAGTGCTTTGCGTAAGGCTGGTTTAGAGCTTTTGAGAGGACAGATCTATAATTTCTACTATATTGTTTTCATTGAATGTACAGGTTGTATGGGAATGTGTGGCATGACGTTTGAATTTTGTGTCCTAAAATAAAGAAATACCTTCTAAACTGCTGCAACTTGCGTAAAACTTGACTCCTCTGTCTGTCTGAGGGAGTCCCTTTTGCAGCTGGGAGTTTAGACTAGTAGCCCTTGGGCCGTTCTTGTAGGCCACATGCCACAGCATAGCCCAGGAATGGCACATGAACTCAAGACCAGGGCTGCTTCTTAAGTGACTAGATATTTATAAACTTAGCATGTTTATTGAGGATATGATATTATCTTATATGAAGAAGGAAGAACACACTTGAAGGAAAACCAATTGCTTCTGGCTTGAATTTGAAGTGTAAATTGTGATAACAGTGTAAGTTGTACTCACTTCTTAGAACAGCACTGCAGAAATCAGTGTGGAAGAATCAGTTTCACAGAGATAGGGAATGTTAGTAAAAGTTACCCAGATTCCTCTTGATTTAAGACTGCATAAAGAGCAGTGTCTGTATGGGTGAATGAGGTTGACTTTTTTCATCTTTTTAGTTTTTCCCAGTTAAAAAGTATAGTTGCGGCTTAGTAGAATACGTATCGTTACATTAATATTTAAGAAAAATCAATGAAAACCAAATACTTTCAACTTGAGCTTAGTCTAAGAATGTACAGGACTCTTGCATTTCAACTCTCCCCAATATTACTGTTATGTTTCAGATGATTCTGCTGACCCCTTCTGGCCTGCGCTGCATTGTTTCATGGTTATTTTGGATCAGCTCGGATCTAAAGTATGGGGTCAGCTTATTGATCCTGTCCAAGCCTTTCAAACCATTATCAACAGTGTGAGCTACAACAATGAAATAAGAAATATACGCAGTAGCTTTAAGAGGTCAGTTTTATTAAGAGACTAGAACAGTTTTATGATTTTAATACAAGGTAGTGTAGTAGCTTGGTCTTGGTTTTCTTGTCAGTGTTGCCTTAATTTGTGTTGAGGGAGGGAAATGGCAAGGAAAAAAATCAGATGTTGCCAACTTGAAGCAATGAAGAGATGAACTAGGTCCGTTAAAATTGTGAGGTTCTTAAAAAAAAAACAAAAACCAAAAAACAAACACAAAAAACCCACAGAAAAACAAAACACAAAACAACTTTTTGACTACTGTGCACTTTTTGACTACTGTTGCACTTTTCGATAATTTTTTTTTTTTTCTGAATCAGGAAGGCTGATAACTGTTTAGTGCTTATTTAGTGCTATAACCATCTTGCACTTAAGATTAATGAGTATTGCCAAGTTTGAGACTCTTAGTAAAATTATGGATTTAACCTAGTAAAATTATGGATATTTCTGGATTTTCAGTGGATGACATTGTTTTAGATTTTATTGTAGTTCCAGGTGACAACTGATGTGAGTTTACTTTCAGCTTATGTTAAGCCTCAAATATTTCTCAAGATTAGATTTACTTAATGCTGCTGTATGGTTTTAAAAGTTTTATGCCTTTTCTGAATCTATTCCTGTCAGGGAAATAATAAAATGCATGGAACTGTTCTCTAATAGCTTGGATAACATAGTGAACTTTTGGAAAGGAAATTCTTTAAAACATGTAGCAGGCATCAGATACTCCTTTGAAAGGTTTTGTCTTCATATACTTACATCCTAAGATAAAATTGATTTTTTTTGGAATCACTTCTGAGTGACAATATTGTTAGTATTGAACTGGAAGTTAATTAGGTAAAGTGCTTTATTCTGTGCAGAAGTCAGTACACTACTGGGAAAGCTAGAAATAGCTTTGATGGAAAAGAATTTTGCTACGTAAGGTCCCAAGACTTTAGGAACACTTCTGATTTTGGAAAACTGAAGTTGTGCCTTACTTTAAAAGGTTGGTGGGAAAATAGTTCCTGGACAACCATACCACTTGTTTACTGTTTTCCTCTGATGTATTATGCATCAACTTTGATTTGTAATGACTTAAATGTTCAGTATTTTTATACACACAGGGTCTCTAATGTTGTAGATACAGATACGTATATAAGGAATGTTACAGGTGCTGAGGAAGGGATAGTAAAGGAGATTTTCTTCAGATAAACAAGCTATTTAAGTGTTATGTTCAAATAGTTGCATCCAGAGTTTATGAGTACGTAGTCATGAGTGAACTGCATCTATGCATAGAAAATTCAAAGCAAATGCAATTCTTCTGGGTGTGTGTTCTAGGTAGTAAAATCCATGGCTTACTAGAAAACTCTTTCCTGAGGCAGTTGCTTCCCCTGCCTCTTAACAGGCAGGATAGAACTAAAACAATTTTAAATACGATATCTTTTCGTAGGTATGTTTTACTGCTGACAAAGTCTAAGTCACATGATCAGTAGCTGCAAAGTAAAATCTTCTTGGCCAGTTGGCTTTCTTGTACTTCGTCAGTTGTGTGGAGTCTGTAATAGTTTGTATTTCTTTTTAGGATGAAATCTGAACCGGAGTCAGACTGTGGTGATGACATGGTTACTTGCAGTCAGATGGTGTATAATTATAACACAGAAAAGCCCCAAAAGGTATTAAATATTTTATTTCCCTGTTCTTTGAACTCTGATCGCTGAATGACACTGTCAATTTAAACCATCTATAAAATACAGAGGGGAAGATACCCAAGAGAAGCAGTGTATGTTGTAAAGAAAAAATGTATGTCACTATTGTGTGCCAGTCTGGTCACTTGTTTAGCTGGTACTTTCAGGCTGTAAGAGGAAAGAAGAATGTGTTTGTGAATTAGACAGAGATGGTATTAAAGCCCAAGAATTCATATCAAGATTGAAACAAACATTGGTACCTCAAATGAAAACTCTGAATTAAGTTTTTTAAAAAAGCTGCTGATTTTTTATTTTTTTTATTGTTTCTTGGTATATTTGTTTAAAATACAAATATATTGATTATGGAGTAATGACATATGCTTTGATATACTTTCAGACATTAGATTGTGCTCCAAAATGGCACTATTTTGTTTCTTGTTATAAAGCAGAGTAAACATTTTTGAGTGTGTTCTTCTCTTGATGGTGTTGTATTCATGAATGTCTTTTGAAGGCTTTAAATGTATATTTGATTATCTAACGTTAAATTATATCGGTATAACATCGTCTTTGGAGGGTTTCACAGTGGTTTTTAAAGGAAGTACTACTTTACACTTATTTCATAGGTTGTTTTAGGAAATGAGTTCATTATACATGCGTTATGCGTTGATCTTTATTTTTTGCATTTTTAAAAATTTTGATTTTTGACTTACTTTAGGATGTTACTCTACTTTTGACTTACTTTAAAGGTGTTACCATTTAACAAACATATATTTGAAAGAAAGTAACCTTTATAGCTAGAATACAAACCTGGCAGATAAAACACTGCAGATGCACATAATGAAGATGATGTGTGGTGAATTTATTTTTCAGGATACTGGCTGGAAGACAGCCATTTGTCCAGACTACTGCCCCAACATGTACGAAGACATGCAAACACTGGCTAATGTGCTTCAGTCTGATATTGGCAGAGAGATGCGTGTCCATCACAGCACGTTTCTGTGGTTCATCCCTTTTGTTCAGTCACTTATGGATCTCAAGGACTTGGGTGTAGCATATATAGTAGAGGTCATTCACTACCTCTGCTCAGAAATCAGAGGTATTCTCAATGAAAGAATGCAGCAGTGTGACAAAATCTCTGAATTTTTTCTCCTGATCTTGGTGTCGATTATTGAACTACACAGAAATAAAAAGTGCCTGCATTTGCTGTGGATTAGCTCCCAAGAATGGGTGGAAGCAGTGGTGAGATGTGCTAAGCTTCCAGGTATAGCATTTACACGGTGCACTGAAAAAGCATCTGGACACTATGCAAGAGGTTCATCAGCAGTATCTTTACAAGCCTCTAACTCTGTGCAGCATGCCTGCGTGCAGTTGATACGGAGCCTTCTTAAAGAAGGCTATCAACTTGGGCAGCATACTCTTTGCAAGCAATACCTAGACAAACTCAATCTTCTTTTGCGAGCAAATCTATCTTCAGGTTGGCAGCTGAACATCCAGGAAACCCAGGAATTACAAATGTGTTTAAGGCAAGTTATAAGAAGTATAAAGGACAAAGTATTGAATACCTCCATGTCTGTAGGAAACACAAACTCTACCACTTTGCCTGCCGCCTCTATAAAGCAAGAGAGGAGTGTATATAGTGATGGATTTGAGATGGGTGCACACAGCAGAGATGACCTTTGTTCACCATTTGTTGCTGTATGGAAGGAAGGCAGAGGTGGAGATTCTAGAGAGAACCCTTTCCCTAGAAGAGAGACTGCCTGGGAAGAGGAATGTAGAGATGCATTTAAAAGTTCAAGATCTTGGACACCCACAGATATGAATATTAAAAAGGAATGTAATGACTTCACAATGTGGGAATATGTCTGCCCGCAGGACTCTTTGGCACCTAAAATATGTGGGAAAGTTAAGGAAAATAGAAACAGTGACCTTGTGGTAAGGCAAAGTGATACAGATAATCAGTGCTTTAATCCAAGCGCCCAGCATTCAGATTTCAGAAGAGAAGAGTCGGGAAACAAATGTGAAGCAGCATCCATAACACCAATGCATCTGGCTGCTCAAACTCATATTGGTTCTCCAGAACGTGTTTATAGCTCAGATGTAAAGGAAAGCAGTATGTCTCCCAGTTCCTCTTCAAAGTTTAAAGTAGATGCACATAAGCTTGCGAATTTGAAAGACAAAGTACAGAAAATCAAATGGCCCTCGGAATTACTGAAGCCAGCAAAGCCATGTGACTTAAAAAAATCCCATTTAGCAACAAGTGCTTCAAAAGCAGAGGTAGAGCAATCTAAGTTTAGCACTGACTACATGTGTACAAGCAAAGATAAACATCAGGGAGTGAATACATCATGTGGAAATGAAATCTCTGTTGATAGTTCATCTTCAAGGAGTTATGAAAGTACACAGGAGAAGAGTGTTAGCAGTGCTTTTCAATCCGGACTGGTCCTCACTAAACAGGTATCAAAAGAAACACCACTAGATTGCTCTAGCTCCTCTAAAAATGTACCTGGTGTGGAGGAAAATGAAGATGGCAGTATTTTGCTTCCAGAAATTAGTGACACCTCACTGAAAAAAGTAGCCACTGAAGAAAAATCAGTGTTGAAGTCTCTGTTTAAGAAAGACACTGACATGCAAACTTCAGACTGGGGACAGCCTAATCTAAATGACTTGGTTAATTATGACTGTAAAGGTCAAATTTCAAAGACATTTTGTATGGATAAAACTTCAGGAAATGGTTGTGTTCCATCTAGCTCTGAAAACAAGAGGGATATATCCAACTCTGCTTCTCAGATCAGGCCACTGTCAGTGAAGTGTGAATCAAGTGACAGGTTATTTGAATTTTCAGAATATTTCAAGAGAGAAAATTCAGTGGGGAAGGAGGAGGAGGATTTTGCGAAGATGGATTCTGAAGATAATTTAACAGATTCCCAGGTTGATAGAGAACTCAGTAAATTAGCTGCGCATGCTAGAGGTGTTGATTTTCCTTTTGATGCAAACCAAGAAACCTCAGTGCCTCAAAATATTTGTGGTATTAAAAGGAAAGTGAAAGGTGCTGTAAGATCTTCCAGTGATGACCAGGGTACCAAGTCTCCCTGTGATACCGATAGCCTTGACAATCAAGTCATTATAATTTCAGACTCTTCCGATGAAGAAGAAAAAGGTGTGGCTGACAAGGAGGAAACAAAAAAAAGGAATGAAAATGTGTGTTCTGAAAAGCAGCCTTCAACTTCCAGCTGCATTTCTGATAGTGGTAACAAAACAAAAGCAAAGGCTCCAAACTCTCCCTTGTTACTGGAAGACTGTGAGTCTCAGTACTTTGAATTTGAAACAGAAGATGATGTCTTTTCGGTTTGGCAAGATACTCAAGTGTATAGTATGGAAGAAACTCAAGAGTATAAACAAGATCGTGTTTTGACATCGGTTGATAGAAGTAGTTCAGATGTCTTAGTGAATGATCACACAAATGAATGGGGTTATGATATGGATTACATGAGCGATGATACCATGGAAGAGGCAGCGAACTTGACAGAAAAGCAGGTAGAAAACATTTCTCATGAGAAAGAAGCTGATAATACAAAACTAACTAATTCAACGTTGGAAGAATCTGTTAGTAAGGGAAGTCCAAAAGGTCAACTGGAGAATTTTGCAGACAAAGGTACTGTTGCTAAAGACTTCACCCTGGACTCAAAAGTGACTGAACACAGAGCATCTACATCTAATGTCTCATTAGCTTCAAAATTGGCCCTTAAGAAAAGTAGCATGAGCCCACGGAAGAAAATAGCGAAATCTGAGATAGCAAGAACCAGTCAAAGAAGTCCTAAAAAGCCTCCTGTTCTTAAAACAGCACAAAATAAATTACTTCAAAGTACATCAAAAAATTCACAACCTGGTAGGTTAATGCCTGCTGTGGTTCCTCCAAGGAAAGTTCGGCAGCGTCCTGCACCAGCATCAACTGTAGAAAAACTTGGTCTGAAGAAGGCACCCCGCAAAGCATTTGAATTATCCCAGAGGTCTTTAGATAGTGTAGCTGCATTGCGCAGCCATGGTAAAGCTGCAGGGAGAGTTGGAGTTGCACAGAAACAGAAGACTAAGCTAATTGCTCCTCAGACTTTGTCTGTAAAGCACAATAAAAAATTACTAGCCTGCCAAGACCGTCAGTTTTTAAGGCAGATAAGGCCCCAAAAGAGCGTCAGAGTGAAAAGTCCTGCAGCAAGTTCTGAGAGTAGAAGTAAAAACGTTAGCAAAGTGAATACAAAATCTATGAAACAAATGCCTAAAAGTTTTGAACTGGCATCTGTTGAAAGATCTGTCAAAAACCAAAGAGAGAAAAAAAGGGAGGAGACAGTTTGTCCCTCTGCCAGTGAGAGAAAATTTGAAAGTCTGTCTGTGAAGGAGACATATGTCTCTAGAATGCCATGTTCTTCAGACTCAAACAGAAAATTGGAGGATAGCAGTATGATGGTTCCTCCTGTATCTAGGGATTCAAGTCTCTCTTCAGCTGCACTTGTTGGAGATAAAGATGAACCTTCAGGAGAAGGTTGCATTGTGCAGCCTGAGAGTGAGACGACAACTTCAGAAGAAAATGGAAGTAAACCAAATGAAAACAGGGAGGATGATGATAGTTTATTTTTAACTCAGTTAGATCCTATAGATATGGACTTGTGTTCTCAGGAGGAAAGTGTTCAAGATTATACTGTAGCTAGTAAAAAGCCAGAGGAAATGGATACTGCTGAAAGACTTCAGCAGGATGAATCCTCGACTCCTGTGAAATCGAAGTACAAAGACTGTGTGGAAAAAGCAGGAGAGGGCTCTAGTAACCATCCAGGCACCAGCTCAGAAACAGATCACTTGTTTGCCAAACCCTCTCTCCTGCCACCTTCTAAAACAAGAAAGCCTTCCACTACCAAAACTTTCAGCTCATCAAGTTCTTCACGGAATGCAGCCTTCAGCAAGGATCTCGAAGATGTTAAAAAGCCACCATCGGCTTCAAAAAGCAAACTGAATGCAGCAAAACCAGTGGCGGCCAGGCCACCAAATGCAATGGCCATACCAGCAGGAAATCAAACATCCAGGTCTCCAAGTCCCAGTAAAGTACTTCAACCCCATAGTTCTAATAATGTTCTCTGGTCACAAAATAGACAGAATGACAATGCTTCAAATATTTCCCGAAGGCCTGCCCCAGAAGCACGTTCTAACTTTCTTGATAGTCAGCAGCGTGAAAGATTGTTTTATGATGTAATTCTGCACTGGACTTATGAAATGTTTACCTACGCCAGCCAGGTTGGAACTCCAGTTAATCTGCATTCTGTAGTACACTCTGTTCCTGTCCGGTTTCGGGGATACGATGAGTATTTTAGTACGTTTTTCCCCTTGATGATGCTAAATGCCTTTGAAACGGTAAGTAGGTATCTGCCTCTTGGTTTGTTTTCATCAACCCTTATAAATTTTATCAAGAGATTAAAAACTCTTTTATGTCCTCTATTTACCTTCTGAAAGTGTTTGGGTACAGATCTGAATAAAGGAATGATTTCGGGGAAATATCAACAGTTATGTTTAAGATTGGGGACTGTCAATGTTACCTCAGCTTTTTTGTTTTTTGAGTGTGCACCCACAGTAGCATGCAAAAGGAGGGGAAAAAAGAAGGTGATTCCTCTTTCTTTATAGCATGTAAAGCTTAAAATAAATTAAGAACCTCAGATCTTTCAATGACAGTGTCTGTAAAGAGGATAAGAATGTAGTTTTGGCTTATGTAGAGAATTTATGTGAGAGGGTAGGTTAATCTGAGAAGTACTTTTTTTCTAAACAGCTTAACTTTGATAGTTTAAGGGTGGGAGAACGCAGTGTTCCTTCAGTTAAAGTCTGTATGCTTTCAAGTTCAGCCATTGCTTCACTTCTGTAGAAATAAAGTAGAAAGTCAAGTAATACCAGGATAATACTGGTATTTTGAGGTGAAAATGCAATTGGGGGAATTTGTTTTGAAGAGCTTTATAAGAAAGTACATTAAATGGGGGGTGTGGGGGGAGAGGAAGTGCTTTCATTTGCCTTGTGTGTTTGTATGTAATGTATATGCCTATATTAAAAAAAAATAGGTAAGACTCTTTGATTTCTTGTACTTGACAGTCTGTTAGCTTTCTTTTATTTCTGCTCAGTACTTTTGCCCTTTTGAGCCATGATAAGATGTTCTGATACATTAAACCCTTCAAAGTATTTTTATTTAGCTTTTACTTTCCAACATGTAGCTGGTGCAAGACTGGATGGAAAATCAGAGAGCAGAAGAGAAGAGTTACTACTTCTACTTACAGAACTTCTGGGCTCACACAAATACGGCAAATTTTACAGGTAAGAGGGTTGTGGGTTTTTTTATAAAACCCTCTTCTGATTTTACAATGCCTTATAAAGAACCAACACTTACAGGTAGATTTTATTTATTTTTTTTAAATTTGGTTTAAATACAGAAAGGATCTTGAATTTGCTGGTTTACAGAATGCATGTAACATACATTTTTTTGCGGGGGATTTGTGCGCTAAGTGTTCAGTACAAAAAGTTATTTGCTGTTGAAATACTTTGAGTCTCATTTGAGATTTTGTTTCAGCTTCTTTTGGTAAATAAAATAGTCCTTGACTTGCTCTATTTTTATACAGTGCTATGTTCAGGCTTAAGAGTGCAGGATGGAGTCAAAACTCTTCATATGAAGTGTTTTGTTATAGCTTTAATAACTTTAAAAGTTAAGAGATGGGTATTACTGAAGTATATGCGTTATGCTAATTGTAGTACTTATATAGTCAGAAAGTAATTGTAACCCTTTTCCTTTTAATGTTCTAATTTTAAAATGTGTTTTGGCTAGCTTACTTTCAAGAAAGTGATTTGGCAAGGCAGCTTCATCCAAAGGAGGATGACTTAATTTTTTTTGTGGTACAAAAGAAAAAAGACACCCTTAAGGAAGAAAGTGAGATGGAGAACCATACAATGAATTACGTTGGTCTTGTGAGACGATTTTCTCGTGCATCTGGCTGTTCAGCTAGTAAGTAAATGGGTTTGGAATAAAAGTGGGATTCTTCTGGGTACTGTAAAGTACTTCTTCATAGCTGGCCGTTGATAGTTGTAACATACCACTTACCTCAGAGGACATGGAATTGTTTTTCCACTGTAGCCTGTCTATTCCATGCTAAAAGCTTCATTAAAAGCCAGGAACTGAAGCTGCAGGCCTGTTTTCCATGCGTTTTTCTAGGGGCTTCCTTTGATACAGATGTTAATACTTCGTGTAAGAACAGAAACTAGTGATGAGTAAGTGCTCTGCATACAACTTCAGGAGTGTGTTGCTGTGAGATCTGAAGTGCCATGAAATTCAGTGAGCTCACTGACTAAAATTTCCACTCTTCTGGAACTGAAGTTGTGAATTACCAAGATTACCAAATATCAAGATTGATGCTGCCTGATTATAACAGCGACCTGAGTTGTTTTACAAGCACTGTTTTTTCTTTTGTTTTGGGTTGTTTTTTGGAGGGGACAGAAGGGTGGTGTTTGTGTTTTTTGCAAGAAGTAGTTACTGACTCCCTAATAAAAGGCAGCACCTGGTTCTGGTGAATTCTTTGAGAGACCTATTTGAATGTCTTTCAGTTGTTAATTCAAAGAATATCTAAATTATTAACCTGTGTGGTTTTTTTTTCCCCTTGCCTCTCCTTATAGGACAAAAGGATCAGCATACTCTCTGTCATCTTTGTGTGGAAACTCAAAGCAATTTGTCATTCTTCATAAATAAGAAAGTGAAGTGTGTGGTGGTTGGCTCCCTGGTTACCACACGCCGAACATTCAAAGGTCTAAACCTACTGCCCAAGAGTTTCTTGGCTAAATCCATCATGGATCCAAATTACAGTGACTTCTGTCCCAGAGGTTTGCCCGTAGCTTCAGAAAGTGCTGTAAGTCCTGCAGCTAGAAGTGATAGTTAGGGATGGCAAAGTGGGCATTTGGGTCTCCTGAGTTTTGTGAAACTGGCTTTGCGTGTTGTTTTTGGAGGTGACCGAGTGCAAACAGACAAGTTTCAAAAGTACCAAGGTCCTGTGCTTTTCAGAGTCGGTTGATTGGATGGACAGAGACGAGTCTGAACTTGCTCAGGTGTCTCTGCTCTATTGTCATAAGTACTGGTAGTGCGCTTTAAGAAGCTTTCAGGTTTTTTTCATTACTGGGGAGGTGCCTGTTAAGGGAATAAGGTATATTGTGGAAAAGGTAATGCAAAATAAAGGTGCGTAGAGTAAACGAAACCTTTGTTATGGCTTTTGAATCAGGATTAGGTGTTCATCTAGAGCAAACATAGAAGGGCATAGAAACTTTTGATTCTAAGTTTGAGTCCTAGCTTTGCGGGGTGGGGGACATTCTGAAAATACATAAAATGAACATGAAAGGTTTGATCAACATTAGGTAATTCGTTATTTTGTTTCCCTGTCTGTTTCTTCAGGCATCAGATATGAATGAATACAATGAAGATCAGAAGAGAGCCATTGAGACAGCTTATGCTATAGTAAAGGAACATCCAGTGCTTCCCAAGATTTGCCTCATCCACGGACCACCTGGAACAGGGAAATCAAAAACTATTGTTGGACTTCTGTCTCGTGTTTTGAGAGAAGTGAGTGAACGTGATGTGATTGCTACGTGCTGGTGTTTGGTTTCCCAGTGGGAGTCAACGATCGCTTAAACTAAGTGGAGTGTAGTATGGGTACTTACTGGGAGTGTAATTCATTAAGCTGATTTAATTAAATCTGTATTGTATAGGGTTTAAAGGTGGAAATAATACCTTTTGGGCATCTTGGAAAACACTTATTTTATAGAACTTAAAAAGTGAAATAAAGAAAACGTGCTATTGGTAGTATAAACTTGTTACATAAAAAAAACCCTTAATAGTTTTATGTGTTAAGAACGTTATTTGGCCTGTCCCATGTAATGGTTTTTATGTTATCATCCAGTAGATTCAAGTACATAATGTTGAAGGGAATTTATGCAAATAGTATGAATACATTTGACTTTTTACTCAACGTAAGACATATCTTAAGAGATATTCAAGTGTAATAGTCCTCATAATCTGCATGCTGATTGATGAGCATACAATCTGGCTTTTAAATGACAAATGAAAACAATCTGAATCTTGACTTATTGTTGATTAATCTATAGAACACTAGGAATGAAAAGACAACTCAAAGAGTAAGTTCCAAGATCAAGCCAAACCGATTTCTAGTTTGTGCACCATCAAATGCTGCTGTTGATGAACTCATGAAAAAGATCATCATTGCATTTAAGGAAAAATGCCAAAACAAGCAGGAGCCTTTGGGTATGGTTTATTTTAAAATTCTGTTTACATGTTAAATAGACAAAACCTGAAGGAGAAACTGGAACAGTTGATTACATACAATACTTATGTGCTACTCTACGCAACTTTTTTTCTCTTGCGGAACATGACTGGTACATCCTTGTATTGTAATTAATGTGCTTTTCTAAAAGGTGTATTATGTTTTTTAAATTGCACTTTGTCTCGGTATAGACATGGACCCTTTACTCATAGTTTAGTTTCAGTTCACTAGTTTTTAAGTACTTCTTAAAGATGGGAACACAAGACTATTACCTTGATTTTGAGTAAAATTGGACTTTGCTGATCATGCTAAATAGACTGAAAATTTTAATGTGTCAGGACCTCTCACTTTTTTTTTTTTTTTTTCCCCTCCTAGTTTGTGACTAATGCAAAGTAGGTGAATTCTGAACAAGGCATCTAGTCTGTGGTGGGAGGAAAAAAATCTGCGTTCTGACCAAACATTAATTTGGTATAGACTTACCAGCTGCATTATTGGTGGTACTCAGTAATTTTCTAATTTAGGAATTCTGAATGTTTTAGACAGAGAAGGCTAAGAATAAGAGGTTATTCCAAATAACATTCTTAACTGTTAGCCACCATAGGCAACATCTTTTTTGAGTTTGGAATTAGTGATATTTTTTTGTAGCTGCGTTATAAATACAACTAAATTGTTGCAAGCCAAGGAAAGCAGAAAAGAAAAAGCCTTGTTTGATATCCATGATGTTAAAATTTCTTTTTTCCCTCTCATGCCACAGTGCAGGGGTGATTGGAGAAATCTAAATATATTTTGATTTTTTTTAAACAGGAAATTGTGGTGATATCAAATTAGTGCGACTTGGTGCTGAAAAAGCAATCAACAGTGAAGTCCGGGGATTTAGCCTGGATAAGCAAGTTGAACACAGAATGAGTAAGTAACATGCAAATCAGACTTTTCTTCAGTCTTCTTTAAGAGCTTGATGATTTTTTACACTTGAGACTATGTGTCCTTTAAGAAGGAAGATCTGATAAAAGATTTTTCAGCAACAGTGCTTCATAAAGTATTGTTTATCTTAGTGGGAAAGTGTCAGCTTACATATGGCCTACAATCTAAGCAAAAATGAAGAAATAAGCAAGATGACTTCTTGTTTGGTTTTTTTTAAAGAAATTATGGTAAATGCGTGTTAAAACCATCATTTTTAAACAATGCAGCTGTGCGGCATTTGAGAGCTACAGTTGGAACCAAGTCTCATTATCTTGCTTTTGGAAGATGAGACCTCAATAGAAAAAGGGAAAATGTAACAAAAAATCAGTTTGTCCCTTTGTTCTTAACTTAAGATGCATGACTGAGAGCAAGTGCTATTGTAACATATTTTTTCTATTCCTCCTGTATATTTTCCTTTGTTTTATTACAGAACGAAAGCCAACTGAGTGTGACCAGGATATTCAGAAGAAAAAAGCAGCTCTGGATCAAAAACTGGATATGCTGTCTCGTCAGCGTGCCATGCGCAGATGTGAGAGGAGGGAGGTAGTAAGATAATAGTATTTTTAATCCTGTTTTCGTGTTTTTTAATCCTGTTTGTGTTCATAACTGAATGCATAAAGAACTCTGCTGTATTTTAATACCATCTCTGAGCAGTAGCTGTGTCTTCACTTTTTCAACTAATGGAAATGCTGGTTAGCACTGTGAAAGGGAATGATCAACTTTACATCAGGATTTTTTTGAGTTTATACTAGCATTTTCAACAGGTTGATCATGCCACTTCTTGCTCTAGTGTTCAGTAGTCTTTGTTTGGTTCTGTCACCAGTTAGTTTTTAGTATAACCATATTTATAAATCTTAATGATTGTATACTTCAAAGCTCTGGTTTTGTTTAATTAGAAATAGTAAGATACCTTGTGATCTGAGATTTTTGGGTATATGTTGCACTTGAAGTTTTCCGGATTTTTTTCTAAAAATTTGGCGTTTCTGCTCAAATTACAGATTTCTGATGGTAAACCGTTTTCCCAGTTGCACAGGAATGTAAGATGTAGTACTGTGTGTTGCAAAGTCTAAATATGTTGACAACTCTCTAAGAAACTGATCAGCTTCTTCAGACACATTTGGTATTGAAAGACAGTCTGGAACAAGTCTAGAAATATTTAGGAAATGAATTAGGGTGTGGGAGGAAAAAGGTGTATGGGAAATATGTGGTGTTAATTATTCCTGATATGTTTCTCTATTTTTTTTTTCCCCCCATCTAGAGTCAAATGTTAGATGATGAAATTGGCAGACTTTCAAAGGAGAGACAACAGCTTGCTTCTCAACTAAAGGAGGTAGGAATTTATCTTTAAGGCAGCTCTTTAATAAACCTCAGCTAATGTATTTATATACTTGGGATCCTTTATTTGTAGTGAAGATTTGGCTTTGATGTGGCTGGGAGTATTTATAAAGTAGTAGGTAAATAGATAAAGGTCATAAGCTGAGTAAGTTATGGACAGCTTGGTGTGAAATCCAGGTGTACTCTGGTCTCATATTGCAAAAAAACCTCCAAATGGATGGGAATACTCACTCTTAAGGGTGAATTTTAAATGAAATGTGGGATATTTGGCAAACGAGGTAATGGAAACGTGCATGTCGTCATGTTCTAGGATGTATCTTCACTACTTTCATGCCTCTTACAGTCCAGCTGGAACTGAGATACTTTTAAATGTTTTGAAGTAAAGCAACAGGTGGAAAAATATTTTTGTGTGTGAAGATAGAACTGAAAGTAGAAATAGGCACTGATAGCAAAGCCAGTAATTAAGGCTGAATAGCATGAACCATGATATGAATGAAGGTTCATCTTTAATGAATATATGCTGACTTTTAATGGTCACGGAGGCTTGGAGTTACAAATATGATGGCAAACTAAACTTTGCTCACAGTTAGTGTGTCTAGTTGCATAGTGATAGAGATATAGGAGTGCTTCTTTCCAGTTTGCCACCTCAGTGGCATTGATCTGTAATCGAAAGTAACACTTCAGGTAAGTTGTGACTTTCATTTGTAATAATGGAGATAGTTTTATTGGGATGATGCATTATGCATGACCTGTTTGCCAGTTAGATTTGACCAGGCAGTAGGAAATTGCTCTAAGGTAGTTCAAGAAAGCTAAAAGAGAAGAGGAGACATGGTGTCCTGTTGCACTTGAAGGTTCGGGGGCACTCTCAGAAAGTACAGACAGATATCCTCTTGGAGTCCGACATCATCTGCTGCACTCTGAGCACAAGTGGAGGAAGTCTGCTGGAAGGTGCTTTTTGGCCGCAAAGACACTGTCCTTTCAGCTGTGTCATTGTGGATGAGGTCAGTAAAGCTATTTAGAACTACAGCATATTCCACCTCTAAGGTCTGCCTAGGCTGCTTGTGGTTGCTTGGTTGCTGGTGTAATATATTATGGGTTGACCACCCCATCCTCACCTTTTAACTGATAACCAGCCTGTCCTGCTGTGTAGAGCCATGAGAAGAAAGAATAACACTTAATTGCTTCTTTTTCTGGCTTGTTTGGTGCTTTAATGACAGGCGGCTTTTACTTAAAAATCATGGCTCAAGTGTGGTTCTTGCTGTAGAGATTTCCAGATGGTTGGGTTATATTTGTATGTGTCTGGAGAGCTCTGCATATTTAATGATAAAAGAAAAATCTGTTTGGCGTTTTTTTATTGGGGAAAAGTCCTTCTTTTTCTCTCTTTTAAATTTTTTTTTCTCTTTTTGGAAGACTTAAAAAGCATTTGAGTAATTCTGGCTCTGTTACAGGAAATTTAACATATTTCCCTCCACTCCTTTGCTTACAACTTCTATTTTTTGTCCTGTTTGCATATACAAAAGGCAGGGCAGTCCTGTGAGGTTGAAACGCTGATTCCACTGTTGCATTACTGTTCTAAACTTGTCCTTGTTGGAGATCCCAGACAGCTCCCTCCTACTGTAAAATCAATAGTAAGTGTTCAAACTGTTTTGGGGGGTTTTGTGCTATGTAGTGGATATAGTGTAAGAACAGTATTTATAGAAAATATGTAAAAGGGAAAAAAAAGGCAATTCAATGTCAGATCAGGATGTGTATCAGATAATAACTTTTGCCCTTCAAGTTTAATCTCTGTTACGTGGAGACCATATCAATACTGCCTTCAGATGTGTGAAAAAAGCTAATACAGATGTGAGTGCAGCCTCTAGAGACTTTTCCTGGTGTAGCTTGGAACGGATTCATGCACCATTAGGAGTAGCTGTGGCAATGCAAACTTGGATGCAGCTCAGCCTGGGGTTTGTGACGGGTGCTGTGTTGCAGCAGGCTCTGTTTTGTTATGTGAGCTTCAGTCAGCATCATGTCCCTTAAGGAAAAGAGGGTGAAGACTGTCTGTTTGGGGACTTCCTTACCCCACAGATGTGTTCTAAGGATGAACATATAGGAGCACTTGTAGCCAGCAGTAAGGAGGACTGTTTTAAGCATCTGATAAAGAAAGGAGTTAAACCAGACTGGCTTCTCTAGAAAGGTAAATTGTCTGGAGGTTGTGTGCTTATTAGTGAGATCCCACCTGGAAGATCTTGCTCTAAAATTTTACTGTGTTGTGATTAACAAAGGAAAGTTGTCTTGCTAAAACTACACTAAAAAATTCAGATTTATGCAGGTGATCTCTACTGAAATAGTGAGACTAGCAAATAGAAAATTGAAGTGTACGTAGTTGTCATTTTTGTCCATGATGTAGAAGCTTAGAAGAAAACACTGAATAGTTTTAAGTCCAGAAAGCAAATTCGTATTGTTAATTTGGGACCTAACTCCCCCAAAGTCAGTCTCATGTTTTCTTTCTGGCAGAAAGCTCAGGAATGTGGCTACGGCCAGTCCTTGATGGCACGCCTGCACAAGCACCTAGAGGAGCAAGTGCAGCAGAACTTTTTGCGAAGCCTGCCGGTCGTGCAGCTGACGGTGCAGTACAGGATGCATCCTGACATCTGCCTCTTCCCATCCAATTATGTTTATGGCAGGACTCTAAAGACTGACAAGTGAGTAGCTCCGAGCAAAGGGTATTTCAAAGAAACCTTTTTGTATTAGGATATTCTTTAGAGTCTAAAAATTCTTGAGGTTGTGTGTTGAGGGAAGATGCTTAATGGGAGGAAACTTGCATTCCATCTCTTGTTAGTGCTGGCTGTGATAAGTAAGTTAGGTGGCTTTCTTCAGATGGAGCAGACTTCATGCTTAAAGTTTGTTTTCAGGCCTCAGTATATGCTGGTAGCAGTGAAAATTAAGGACTTGGGGTGGAGGGGGGGAGAAGCTGCAAGCTGCTCCTATTTGATAACCGTGGTGTAAATAAATGAAGTATTAGAGTTTCTATAGGATTACCTAGTGATAAAAATGTTATTTACAGAGCAACAGAAGAGAACAGATGTTCTTCAGACTGGCCGTTCCAGCCCTACCTTATTTTTGATGTAGGAGACGGTCGTGAGGAGCGAGACAATGAGTAAGTCCTGCATTCTACTCTGCCAGATTTTAGATTTGCTGAGAATTAATTACTTGCAGAAGAGCTGTCCTCTCTCCTTTGTTATTTCTAATACTCATTAAGTAGCCAGAACTGTGTTTTCAACTTGATTTAATTTTACAAAAAAGCAGGTGTTAAATGGGTTTTGGTTTTGTTTTTCAATCTGAAACTGGTTTTAATCCTGGTTTGACTATTTGTTAGATGTCAATGAATGCCTACATTCTCGGCTAACTCTAGTAACAGTTTACAAGTTCCTGATTTATTTTTTTTTTTATCGGTGACTTTCCTTTCACAGCTGCATGCTGAGGTAACACCAGAAGGTGGCAGGCTCAGCCCTCCCCTTTGCCTGTTCTGTAAATGTGAAGTGCAGCCTTCCACTGCTAACACTTCTCGTGGTTAGCCACTTGTCAGGGCCTACTTGAAAAGTTCTTTAAGCTGCTGTGTGAAGGAGGCTGCAGGAATTCAGGGTGGGGGCTTTGATTTGAAATCCCTCCTACAAATTGCGCTGAAGCATAGAATTTGAAAGAGCTGTCAAATGTATTTCTGTAATGTTTCCATTCTGTCTTGTTCAGCTCTTTTAGTAATCCTCAGGAAGTGAAGCTGGTGATGGAATTAATTAGAACAATTAAAGAAAAAAGGAAGGATCTGGGAGTTCGTCGCATTGGAATAATTACCCCTTACAGCGCGCAGAAAAAGAAAATTCAAGAACAACTGGACAGAGTGTTTAGAAATAACAGGTAAAGAAATTCTGAGTTTTCAAATAGGACTTGGCTCTTGCATATTAGTCCTTTGTTTGTCCTCTTTAAAACAATGGTAAAAACTCTGAAACTTTCTTCTGTACTACTAAAATCTGTACTTAGTCATGACTTTAAAGGGGGCATACAAGCCTTTTGCCTAAAACGGGCGTGACCTGTTTGTACCATTTCTTACTTGTATACATGCTTTGATTATACTGCTGTTCTGAGTAAAGCTGTTTCAAAAGAAAACCTAAAATTCCAAGCTACGTGGATCTGAACAGCTTTTCAGTAATGATGCTGGCCTCAGAAAAGTAAATTTAGCTTCAGGTTCTTACACTGGGTCTTTTCATACACTGAAGCAGAAATTTACCCTGGGTTATTTTGACAGATGATCATTAGGGGTAATGTTCAAGTGATTCGCATCAGTGCTTTGCTTAAAAATTCAGCTAACATAATGTAATGGCTTGCTAATTCTTTCTTCAACAGCCCAGGAGAAGTGGATACAGTGGATGCATTCCAGGGACGAGAGAAAGACTGCATCATAGTGACATGTGTCCGGGCAAACAGCACCAAAGGGTCAATTGGGTACGTTTCGTTTCAGCAGTTTGCAACTCTGATTTCCAGTGATGCTCTAAACATAGTTGTCATATTTTTAATATAACCAGTAAGAAAGTTACAGAAAACAAGTCACCAGAGCCAGCAAATTAAATGGTATTGTATTGCATGAATTAATGGTACTGGTTTGAGATCTCGGAACAAAAGGCACACAAAAATGCTAAGTATTGTGTTCTGCATTGCGTGCTGATAAATTTGGATGGCTGCCTTAGCCTGTCAGTACTTCAGTTTGGCAGGATGGATCTTGGAATCTTGGCTCTTTGCATTAGTAGTGCTGCTTGTAACTTTCTGAATGCTGCTCTCAAAATGAAATCAATTTTCTGTAAGTGTTGCTATCCTATTAATACAGCATTCTGTCTGTAAAAGTATTGTTAACTAAGTTACATACATCGCTAGGAATGTGATGCAGACAAGCTGGATCTTTGATTTGTAGATGAATGTCCTCATCTCAAGTTGGGAGGAGATTTATGAGAAGTCTTGATTCAAGATCACAGATTTAATAATTTAATATGAGGGTTTTTTCCTGTCTAAAACAGAAGGAACTAAATACTGGGTGTGATATTTACCCCCAGAACACTACAATCATTGATTAGTTTCTGAAGCTTACTGATTTGTTTTAGTTTAAAAAATGGTAATGGAAATATGTTGTCTTATATAGAATTCATTGGCTTTTGTGTTAAACTATGGGAAATTGTTCGCATAAACAAAAGTCTTTGTTTCTACATACTAAGCTACTCATTCTCTGATACTAACTTTCTGATTGCTAAATAAAGGGCTTTTGATTGTGCTGATCCATGCTACTTTGGGAAGAGAAAGAATCCAAATTTTATAGTAAACAAAAATGATGCTTTTTGGAGATTTCTTAATCTGGTTCGTTGAGTTTGGAAACTGAAGGCAGCTAGAACCTGCCAGTTCTTTTGGCTGACGCCAGGCTTAACCTCTATCTCTTCTTTTGGAAGAAAACTTTCCAGCTTACTGTGTTGCAGGTTTGTATATTAAAGCTTTGGCTGTGCAGTGTTAGAAGCTGTACGTGCTGATGACTTGGATGTCTCTGTTTCAGGATCTGATGTCATTGACAAGGTGTGATGGGAAAGTTTGCATCACTCTTACCTATGTTCTTGTAGCTGAGCAAAGTATTTTGGTCTCCAAGGTTGCTAGGCCAGCATTACATGCAAAGGGAGGAGAAAATGCCAAGAAATGACAATGGATTATTTTTTTTCCTTTCCTGAGAAAATAATCTTCTTGTCTTTCAGCTTTAAAAGCTGTTAGGAATATTTAGTAGTCTTTCAAGGTCTTTTTTTTTTTTATTCCTCCCTCGAGACCTAGAGAAGTATAATATCGGTGCTGCATCCACTCCCCAGTCTGCTTCCTGCATCTCTCTCTTTGCCTGTACTGTCCAGATTTTCCGGGGTGGCTCTGGGGCTTTTGTAGCATTTACTGCAGGGGTTGTGAATTCACTGAAGAGCAGGTCTTGGTGCCATGACCACAGTGTCAGGCATTGGTGTTGGTCCTGCTCAAGCTAAGCTGAACAAAGACTTGACTTTGTATTGCAGACTTTGTTAGTATAGAGTAAGCCATGCATTTTGGAAGCTTTTGCATTAGAGAAGAAATAGTTCATATTAGTTTCACAAATTTTTGGGGGGGTTTTGGTAAACAAGTTCTAACAGTAATCAGCCTTTAAGAATACACTAAGCATTTGTTTGTTTAGGTTTCAGTACCTGGCTTGTGATCTCACAAAAACAGACTAGACAGTTTTCATAGAGCAAATGAAATTTTCTTCTGCAAGAATATACTTTAACTCTTGAAGCATGACAAAGCAAAAAGTCTTCTTCATGTGCTTCCAGTGCAGGTCACCTTTAAAATTAAATATTAATGTCCAGTATTCAGTATTTCAATAGAAATTTTTCCCGTTAATCATGCCAAATATTAATCTATTTCAATTTAAGTCAAAAAGAAGCTTAAAGTCTTGATAGGTGAAGTGAGGTTGATGTCTTCTGTACTTTGAGGAACATTTAAGGAAGCAGTGGTTGGCATTAAGGGGGGATTTGCTCTAAGAAAGGAAACAGCAGCAGCAAGAGCTGGAAAGAACTGGAATTCCCTGTAAGGAGTCAGAGTGGTGAAAGAAAGAACACCATGCAAAGGCAGGGCTGCAGTAGTGGGATCTGGGAATGGGTCATGAACTGCCACTGCCTTTGTAACTGCTTCTGTTATCTTCATTTCCATGAAACTGAATATTAATCTCTTTTTTTTTTTTCCTCATAACACTTAAACTTTGTGGAAATAGTTTAGGAGCTTAGTTTTGTCTTTTCCCCTAGATTTCTGGCAAGTCTTCAGCGTCTGAACGTTACAATTACTCGAGCCAGATTCAGCCTCTTCATCCTTGGAAGACTGAAAACGCTGATGGTAGGTACAGGGTTAATCAGAAGATCTCCTGTGATCCACCCTTTTAGGTCAAGTCGGGATTGAGGAGGTGAAAACCATCCTCAGACTGCTTAAGTCTATGAAAGGGGACCCTTTTCTGGTGTGGTGTTAAATTAGTACAATCCAGGCATTGGAAGGGTTCTCTGTAAAAGCTTTGGCTGTAATTGTCATAAAAGCTTTAAAAAAACTAAACCAACCAAACAAGAAAACCCATCTGGTTTTTTTGCTTCCAAGAGGGAAAGTTAGAAACTACTCTCACAATACTTACTGTTCCTCCAGCTATTGAAGCTGTCACTGGATACTTGAGCAAGGAAAATGATTTTAAAAAACCAAACTACACCAAAACACTCCTCTAATTTTCAGATTACTGATTTTGACACTACTTTGTGGTTTCTGAGGATACTCTTTGCAAGCGGTGTTTCTGAAACAAAACTACATATTTGGGGGACTATAAAGGCCCACTGAATGTGTAGGGTGTGCTCTTGAATAGGCTTAATATCTTACAGTACTTGATTTTTATTCTTTTTCCAAGGGTGGGGGTGTCAGCTGTACCACTAGAGGGGATTAAAGCCCTGTTTCTGTTCCACTCTGTATGAGAACACTCTTCTGGCCTTCATAAATACAGAAATTGTCATTTTAAGTAGTAGCTCAGTGATGGTTGAAAGTACCTTCCCTGTGTTACAGCAGCCAGAGGGCCTATTGCTGTTTTGCAAGTGAAACATAAGATTCTTCCATTCCAGAAGGAACATAACAGTGGTTTCCATGACAGTTGTGTCAGGTACCTTTTTAAAGGGGTTGTGCATCCTTGTGACACCTCTGTCTGTGTTGATTTCTTTCTGATAACTTTTCTTTTTTTTGGGGTGTGTGTCTTCTTTAAAGGAAAATAAAGACTGGAATCAGTTGATTCAGGATGCTCAGAAGAGAGGTGCCATTATCAAGACATCAGAAAAAAACTACAGGAAAGATGCTGTTAAGATTTTGAAGATCAAGGCAGCAGTACAGCCCCCAACCAAAGCAGGAGGGACAAAACCACCTCCTCCATGGCAGGCTGGTTCTTCCCGTAGCAAGAGGGGTGAGTTTGCAGATGCAAGGGAGGCCAGTAGCCCACGGGAGCTCGCTGCTGGCCACATGGCACTACAGGGAAGCAGAGGGCCCCAGCAGGTGCAGGGTGCACAGGCTGCAGACTCCAGGAGAGGCAGTGCCTCTGCATGCAGGGAGGCTGCAGCGCTTCCTGCTGATAAACCGCGGGACCCGAGGCTGGTGAGCATGGCCACTAGAACTGAAACACAAGGGAAGGAGCAGGTCTCAAAGGACAGCAGTTGGTCAGCACAGAGCAACCCAGGGTCAACGTCACAGCAAGGCCTCAGGGATCAGATTTCTGGAAAAGAAACATCTAAGAAGCCCCAGCAAAAAACGGGACGGTGCGACGTGGCTTCAACGTCGTCTTACGCGGCTCGGCGCGAGGGTGGCTGGAGAGCTCCTGTATTGAGAAACAGTTCAAGAGCCCTCAGTGAGGGAGGTCAAAGTAATAGCAGCAAGACGGACAAAGACTATCGTGGTTTAACGAGGAGAACACCAGAGGAATTGCCAGAGAACACAGAATCAATCAGTGCCAAGCGAAGAAAGACCTCTCAGTGACTTTAGTATTGGCTCATTACTGAAAATCTATTCACAGATTTCTGTCTAGTAAGGACTGCATTTTATATTATTTAGTACACCTGGAACTCCCTTATATTGGTACCACCACTGTCAGTAGATCCCTCTTTCCCATCTTGCCCTAATTGCGAAGGGAACTTTATACCTGACAGTTGATAGCTTTGAGCTTTTGAAAAGAAAAGCTGGGTAGCTGCATTGCTTGGAAGAGCAGTGAATTTTTGTAATCTAGGAAGTTACGGTTGTAGATGTTTAATGATGTATATTTGTACAGTATACAAAATTATTTTAAGTTTAAATTGGCAAATACATAGCTGCTTCTTTCCTTGTGCAAATGCTAGTTTCTTAGTGATGTAATTTTTTATGAAGAACCAGAGCAAAGCAAAAAAGCCCCAGCAATGCTCTCCCAAACAAAAAACAAAAAAAAACAAAAAAAACCCAAGTCCAAAAAACCAGCCAGACTACTTTTTCCCTTTGCACTAGTAAGTCTAATTTATTTGATGGCAAAGAGTGAATGTTGAAAATGTGGTAGCAGTGATTCTTCCTCATGCTCCACTAGTGCCTCAGGAAAGACTGAAGGCAGATGTACATTGGTTGAATGGAGAGAATTCTACTTATTTTATATTTTTTTTATTGCCTGTTCTTATAGGAACAGAAGAGCTTTCATTTATACAAATGTGCCTTGAGTTTTGCTCTTGCTGTAGCTTCATCAGTTGGAATCCTTGTTGCAGTGGCAACACAAACTGCAGATTAAAGGCTACGAGGTCTGTTTGGTCCCAGTGAGTCCGTGTGAGGAATAATCAACAGCACTGTGGAATCTTAGTCAAAGACCTAGTTAACACTTGCTGATAATGACACTTGAGTTTCTTTGTATAGAGCTTTTGAAGATCTACAGGAAGAAGAAGGGCGAGCAGTTCATTCTAGGTATTATTACTGGATTCTTTCCACTGTGCTGATGAATATATAACCGGTAAAATGGGGTGGCGGGGGGAAATGAACTGTTTTTAAGAAAGCTTTTCTCATATCGTAACATTTCACAATAAAAGTAGAATTATTTCTACTAAGCATTCTTTTGGGTCACTGAAGTATCACTTTGTTTTTCTGGAGCACGTGTCTGTCTCATGGAGGTGAAGAGCAACACTTCATGTGCATGGAGTTTTGTGTGGGGATGGTCTGGAACGTTTCTGCCAGAGAAGGCAGCACCTTGCTGTGTTAGTACTGGTTGGGTGTACGGGTCAGTCGCTGTCTCCATGTGTCGGGGTTACAACAGGGCCTGCTCTGTGGTGGGCACTGCCCTGCTGTCCCCTGCTGATGGCCTTGTGCTTAACCAGGGTAAGGGCAGCAGCTTCCCCCAAGCAAATGAGCTGCCAGACTTCTCTGGCCAGAATTTAGCCATAATCTTCAGTTGTGTTTTCTGTCCCGACACATCGATTGCAGTGATTAGTGTCAGCTTTGTCCTGTCAGCCCCCTGCCAAAGTCCAGTTCAGTGAGGTGCTTTATCCTACAGAACATCAGGAGGCAGCTCCAACCGTAAGTTCCAGTAAAATTTACATCCTTAACGCATCCCAGCCCAGAACAAACGTGCCTTCCTGATACCAACTGTGTTGTAGGTGTGTTGGGAGGCTTTTACTTGCTGTCTGTGACTGTCCAGCTCATTGTGCTGCATAGTACAGAGCATTTTAAGATAACGGGAGAATCTCTGAGATGGCTGTGAGGTGAACTCAACATATGTGCGTTGTTTACTTTAGTTATTCGTTACGTTGCAATCTTAATCGCTTCAGTGAACCCTGACCACCTCTTGTCAGCAGTATACGTGCTTCAAAAACTGCCGTGACACTTCCTTGACGTTGCGTGCCTTGAGTGAGAAGGAAGGCTGCCTGAATGAATCTGACTGTCACGAATTGGACATTTTGGTCACCCCCACATCACAGAATCCATGTCCTATGTGTACCTCCTCTTATGTTAATGGGAATATTTCAATACTGTCATCTTTCAAACCTCTTGGCTCTTCTTGGCAGGGCTGTGCTGACCTGCCTGCTGTTCCTACTTAGCACATTAAAAAGGCTGCTACTCTGCGAACGGCTGTAGGATCCTATAGCTGTGGAAGCCATTTAGACTGTCTTTATGTAAATAAAGTGAAGCTGGCAACAGTGTGAATGAGAAAATGCTTTTCTGGTCATTAAATACAGTTTTGTCAAATGTTTCTCTGAAACTTCCAGTTTTCTTCATTTCAGAACATGTTTTGAGAGCTATACTTATCACATGCTGGAAGGAATTTTGTTTTAACATTTCATTTTTATTTTATTTTGTACACAGCACAGAGGTCATGTACTTTCTAATGCCTGTATTTTTCCATAAATCATCTTTGAGGTGTGGTCAGTGGCTCAGACTTTTTTTGCTTATTTAATACTAGATTTATCTGACTTAAGTTGTCAATCTTCCAGTGGTAGCTTATTGCTACTGTGTCAGTCTGTATTGTTAACGGTGTGTTTAATAAAAAAATGTTTGGGTTATTGCACTTAGAACACTTTCTCCTCTTTGCACATCACTCAAAATAAGTTTGTAGTTTTAGTTAACTTTTTTCCCCTCCCTTTTATACCCGTAACATGGAAAACCAAGCCAACTCCAATCCAAAGTACACTTCTCACTAATTCAAAGAAAACCTGCATTGGGGAACAAATAGGGTACAACTTTCTTAACTTCTCTGCTGTTTCCATGGTCTGTTATAAAATACTGAGTAGTGATGGACAGTCAGTGGTGGTCAGCTGAGTGTAGACTTTATTTAGTATCATCTTAGAATGAGTGATAGTTGGAGGAGATTGATCAGTGATTGCTCTCTTCTGCGTATTAAAGTCAGAAAAAATCAGTAAAGAACATATTCAACACAGCTTAATGTAAAACAGTTTAATTGGAGTTTGTGCCAAAAAACTTTGGAAGAAGCAGTATTTAGGTTTTTATACAGAGGCTTCCATGCTGCTTCTGAGCTTGGCAGCTTAATTCTCAGTGCAAAACCAGTTCCCTCTGTGGTACTACTTGTCTCTCGTATCAGTAAGAAGGGAAAGGCTCTTCCAAGTGTTGGACTTACTTTGTTCAAAGGTGTTTTTTTTTATTCTTTGTATATGAAATAAGATTTCCAGTAAAGGTGGAATATAATTATGGTTATTCCTTTTCCCTTTAAGGTTTACTGTAATAGTTCTCCATGTCATTGCTCCATATCATGATGTGAGAACAAACCAGAGCCATCTGTATAATGATGATACCCGAACAGGTACTCACCTAAGTTTTTCTTACCTATGTTTCACTGTACATGCGCTACACTATGGAGCGCTGGCTCGCCAACCGTGGCTTTGTCCCTAGGGGTGCTGCTGAGCACCCAGAGGAAAACCAGCCCTGTTCAAGAGTATGACCCTGCTCTGGGACACATGGCAGAGGGGTGATGGTAGCTGCCGGTGGGCCTGAGGGATGCTGAGAGCTGGTGGTGCCTCTGGGTGGGGAATGGGAGCTGGGAGAGCTGTGCCCCACTGCGGGGGGATGAACACAGCGGCCTCCCCTCCTGCTCCCTTGCGGTTCGGTGCTGGTGGTGCAATGAGTTTTTACAGAACCGTCTCCTAGCTGAGCTGGGTGCAGTAACTAGCAGCCGGGTCCAAGAGCTGGAGGCACAGGAGCTGGGAGACGGCGTTGTGCAAGGTGTGCAGACTGGCAAGGCACTTTGCCTCTTCTTCCAGCGAGTCCATAAAATGGAAGCAGCCCTCACCCCTGGTCTGCTGATGCTAGGGAAGTGCTGAGCAGCGCGTGCTTCCAGAGCAAGAAAGAACTTGTAGTGACCAAAAGTACTGATTGAGAGTAAACAGCATTCCCAGTCCCAGGTGACATCTGAAAAATAACATTTAACACCAGTAATTTCAGAGCTGAGATGGTTTTTGGTTTGTTGGTTGGTTTTTTTTTTCAGTCACTGAAGTGTGGTGAGATGCTGAGTTTTACTTTTGCATATAAAAGGGAGAGACTAGAGTAGCCAACAACTGGAGCTGGGCTGTTCATTCACAGCCCAGTGACTGTAGCAATACAAAGGATAAGCAGAATCACGGTCCTAAAAATGTAAGACGTTCTCTCTAGTCTGCATGAATAAATGATGGATGAAATGACTGCTGTACTGTAAATGGAATTTATAATGTTAATGATACAATACAGTCTCTTGCCACAACGGGTCCATTCCCAAGTCATATATAAAGTCTTTCTCGTCTTCTTAGGTTGATTGGAAAGGAGCCCAATGCCTTATTCTTTAGTGCAAATAAATGTAAGCTAAGCAGCCTTGTACATCGGATATCGCTGACACGAGACCTTCTAGCCATACGTACCTGTCTGCTAAGGCCTCGACTAATTTGCCACAAACTCCCAGGCAAATAGTGAGAGAAATGAAAGTGAAGGTGGTTTGAGTGCACATGACATTTGGTATTGGGAAAACATGGAAAACTCTGTTTTCTAGCCTGGCAGGCTTCGCTGGTGTGGCTGTCCAGTTTTGTCACTGATTTCGCTGTTGCATCAAGCAAGAACTCCCTTTGCTACAAGGAAATCCCATCAGTTTCCTCTCTCTTTATTTTAAACCCTGAAGTAGCACAGAGTGGGGTTGGGATGGAGCGTTTGGAGCCCAGTATTGTTCCTGGCCAGGAGAGAAGGTAGTTACATGATAAAAATGGGTGGGTTTAGGCTTTCCTCGCACGTCTCATCCTGCAGTGAAACTTGTTACAACACCTAGAGAATCAAAATGATAAAGGAGCCTTTAGGACAGTCTGAAGCTCTTCTCTGCATCTCAAATCAGCATGGGATTTTTAGCCAGTTTCTGCATGATAGTGGCCAGACTTTCCAACTCCCTGCCAGAAGGGCTGAGAAGAGGGTGATACAAAGCTCTGCTCTTATTTCTGAGCAAGAACGCTGAGCTCCTCCATTATACTTTGTTTTATTTACATTTGGGACTTTTCACAAGCGCCAATTATAGAACAGAATTGGTTGGTGAGACCATTAATTTTATTACCGCTAAAGCATTGGTTCTCTCATCACTCCAGCCTCCGCAAGGCTCCTTACTAATCACTCTTGTCGATGAGATGTCTGCTTCCTCATCTTTAAAAAAAACAAATAACATACCTGGTAAGTACCAATGGAAATTTTTTTCCCCCTCCTTCTGTCTCCATCTCCCAGGGACTGTAGGCTTAACATTTTATCTGGCGAGTGAGCAAATACGCATAAACCCAGACTGCTGTTGACTCCTCTGCAGCTGGGGCGCGGGCTCAGCCTGGCCGCAGCGATCTGTCACACCAGGCACATTTTTGTTGCTCTGGGGCTTTTGGTTATTTAGATCTGCTAGTACTCTAAATAGTTAAAAACAGTAGAATTTGAGGTAAACAAGAAAAATCAAAAGCTCTACTTGTACTGTTTGAAGAGGTCACTTTTGTGCAGACAGAAGTGTAATTTTAAAACTTTTTCAAATGAATCAAATGCCGGCTGCGCGCCGGCAACAGGATACACATGAAAACCTCTTGAAAGAGCGCAAGTGGCTTTTCTCAGAAAGAGAAGTACCTTTTGGTTAACCTTTCCACAAGTAAAGTATCAGGCTCATTGGACAACTTCTCCCATTTGGAAGCATTAACTGATGTACAAATGTTTCTATCTTAAAGAAGATGAACTTTCAGATCTGCAGATACTTGCGGTGATGGTTTCGCTCTGTATTGTTTCAATCCTGCTCTATTCTCCTCGTGTAGGGACCCGTGTGCTAACGGATGCCTGCAGTTAATGCATCTTCAGCCCTGAAGCCTTCAGAAGCTTTAAATTACTTTCTTTAAAACCAAGTTTAAGTTTCGTGTGAGAGGGTGGGGTTTTTTTTCTGTCTTGCAGTGGTTTGTGTGATGTGATTGCAAGTTCTCCAGCACCATTGGCCAGACAAAGTGCCACCCTGCTCTGCAAGGCGCCAGGCTAGCTTTGTGTCTGAGCCTGCAGATGAGCTGCGCAGCCCCTCAGCAGGCAAGTCTGAAACTCCCCCTCTTGGCTCTGCCCTCGCTTACAGTCTAAAGGCCATTTGGTTTCTGTCGTGAGATGAAGCATGTCAACGTTTGTCCTTTGCAGTTACTATTTCACAGAGGGCTTTGCTTCTGCATGACTAGGAAGAGCCTGAGAGTGGTCTATGTAGTGTGGAGGGTGGACTTGTTCCCCAACATTTTTCAGGCTTCCTTTGGCATAGCTGCTGGAGGGTTAGCACCACAGCTTTCTGCTTCTGGTTGAAGTGACAGAATTATTCATTGGGATTTGGTTAAAGAAGGTCCAGGACTGAACATTACTGGTATTCTGGGTTCATAGGGAGGTGACGCCGCCTCTGAGCTGAATTAGGAAGCCAGTGTTGTTTTACCTTAAAAACAGACAAACCCAACAAACCCAACAACCCCCAAACCCAACAACCAATACCCAATCAACCAAGAGAAAATCCTTTAAGCCTAAAACGGTCTAGAGCAGCGGTCTATCACCTTCAGCAGTCTTTGTGCCTGGGCTGTTCTGAGCTTTGTTGTGCCCTTCTGAGGTTATTTTCTACAGGAATTTGGTGCTGCTGCTTGGCCCATTTCTGTTTGCATCACAATAAAAGTGTGTGTTTGCAGGGAATCCGCTGGGTGCGGAGTGGGACACAGCTTTATGAAGTAGTAAATTCTCGGTTGCTTAATCTAATATTCTAGAGAAAAACACTAGTGCAGGGGAAGGAGAACGTTGCTTCACCTTCCAGAAGGACCATTAGAGATCTTGATCTTGTTACTGTCTTTTTTATGCTATTACTTGTAAGAACAGCAATGTATGAAGATTTTAAAACCTACTGCAGTCAGAAAGTACAAAGAAGGAGTGTGTCAATACCAACAGACAGCGACCAGCTGCATTAAAGGGAGCCAATGCTTGCGCCATCCCAGACCCTCAAAGACCAAATCTCAGCAGATTGAGTTTAACCCTCATTTATTTTATGGTGGATTAACTAAGCCCTGTGACCTGTCTCTGCGATGTTAAACACTGCTCAAACGTGCACCAGATTTGTGTTGCTCTTTGATGTGACAATATCTGTCCTGCACCTTGGCTCCTGTTTTCTTCTCCTATTTCAAAGTACAAGTTCTCTGCCTCCCTCTCCGTGGAGGCGGCTGCGTTTCGGGGGCACTGGCTGTGTACACAGTAATTGCAGTGTCAAGCTGGAAGGCACTGCAGGCTCTTGCACTTTTGAAACATGGGCTGCTCCCAGCGCTGGCCCCCCTGAGCAGGATGGGCTATAAGGGACAGGAGACACAGTGTTGAAACAGAACAGACATTGGTAAAGAAGCTCTTGAAGTCCTCTAGCAAGGACACCAGACCTGGAAATGCCAGTGGAGGCTCATGTTTGGGTTGTGGGGGGCTCCTGGGCTAGCTGAGGGAGCAAGTGGGCTGGGTAAAGCTGGGGCAATGACCAAGGGCTGCTCCCTTGTGCAGAAAACCAGCCCAGAAGTGAATGAGCTGGAGGTGGGGGGGTGTCTCCCATCTTCTAATACTCCACTCAGTGAGCTCTTGGCTTGGTAAGTCTGGACATGACACAATCAGAGCTCTTGTGTTCATAACATTCCTGTTGTTCTGATTGAGTTACATCATGTCTCTGGTTTCTCCTGCCTTCATTTATGCATGGGACTGCAAACGCTTCCTCGGGTAGTGGCATGTTTATGAGCTTTAAACGAGTTGATCTAGTCCCTATGAGCTCTATATTGAAGTTTCAGGCTGGGTCTGTTTAAAAATACCCCAGATAATCAGCCTTTTCTGCAAAGACACATTATGGCACCGGCTGCGGGGGGGATGCAATGGCATTGGATAGCTGAGGTCCCCCTGGAGAAGCATCCCTGGACTATCCAGCCTTCTGCTGCAGGCTCATTTGGAAATGGCCTTTCTACACAAGACCAGTGCTTAATATATCACTCAGGCTTTGTTCATTGTCTACAGTTAGTAGTCTAACCTAGGTTCAGCAAAGTAATTAGGAGAAATAATTAACAGCTCTCAATGATGAGGCAACTTCTCTCTCCCTCCCCTCTCCCTTGCAATGTGGTGCACCTTGGTACTGACTCAGAAATCACAAGAGGACATTATGAATCAAAAAATAAGTCTTTACCTGTAATTAACTGTGCACACAAAAAGGAAAACGTGGTGATCAAGCAGCCATTAATAGTTGCTTTACTGGAGGAGGATACACCAGAATCAAATGCTCATGGCAAAATGTCCCTTTAAGTTGTGGTTCTTTTATAACATTTAATCCAAACAAAAATAAGTCTCTACCAAAAAAAGTATTTGAACCGTACACTCTACGGACATGTGTGGATAAGACACTGCACTCCTCACGTACCATATGCCTAATGGCCCCTGCGTTCTCCGTAAGTGCAAGAAAACAAAATCCAGCAATGAATATACAAAATCAATGCAGCAACTAGAGTTGTAGGCAACAGTATGTGCGTGGCCAGGCCAGGCCGATGGTGGGACGTGGGACTATGCAGCAAGGATGGACCAGAGTCCCCCCTTCCCTCCCTCCCCTTCCCCTGCCTGTTGTGTTATGGGGCTCTGGAGTTGTCATGACAGGCTCTTTCAAAACAGGACACTAAGAAGAGGAAAAATAAGAACACCCCAGCCTATACCAAAGTAAATAAAGTAATAATAAAAAAAATATCCCTTAGATCGCGGCACTATTTCCTCAGGGCCCCGGTGGCCCTGGCCCCAGGTCGCCCTGTGCGGAGCAGGGAAGGAGTCACTGCACAGAGGGAAGGACGGGCCCCGTGGCCACGCGGGTCTGTGGGACCGTGGCCCCGGCACAGGCTGGTGCAGTCCCCGCACCGCTGCTCGGCAGCCGGCTCCGCGCTGCGGCCACCCCGGCTGCTGCCGGGCTGGGTTTGTGAGCAGGAGTCAGCCCCTGATTTTTTCTGCATACCTCTCTGCTTGGAAAGTGGACCAAAAGACGTTGTGCAAGTCCTAACGTGAAGGAAGGCGGAGGAGACGGTGGGGAGAGCCACCTGTTACCTTAGTCTCCCCAGGGCCCTCGGGTGACGTGCCTGGGCTGGGCTCCCTCCTCTGTGGCTTCAGAGGTCCACCCAGCCGCGCAGCTGGAGGGCGAGCACCCCGAGGAGGATGGTGCCGAGGCTGCCGTGCACGCTGGGGCCACCGTTGCAGTCTTTTTTGTCAGCTTCACACCTGGATTGCTGGCACAGGACCCCCTTGAAGCCCACAGGGCAGATGCAGCGCTGATTCTGGTAGCAGGTGCCGCCGTTCTGGCAGAGCAAGAGCTCGTCATCGCAGACATTGGCTACAAGGTGGGAGGGAGGGAAGAATGTGGGTCTTAGGCTGGGGTATCTTAAACCCCTTGACTGCAGCAGCAAATAGAAACTTGTGGCTTTCTTCTCTAGCTCCTAGGGGTTAAATTATCCAACCCTTGTAATGCTAGAACAGCCCCAAGGCAGAGGAACACAGTGAGGGCTGAAAACACCAGGTGTAACACCATCAAGTCATTTGGGTTCAGGAGGAACGGCTGGAGTCTGCTCACTCTACACCCCGAGCATCACGGGGCTCCCGGGGAAGGTGGTGCTAAGGATCCCCTTCTTGTTTGGTCCCATCTCACCCCTCCCTCTGTCCCTCTGGCTCAGGTACTTACGGAAGCAGCCCTGTCTCCAGTAGTAGTTGGGCAGGCAGTCGTCGCACTTGGGCCCTGTGGCACCTTCTTTGCATTCACAGTAGCCGGTCTCGTTGCAGCGGTCGTGCATGGAGCCGATCTGGTTGCAGTTACATTCTGGGCAAAGACAGGGCTTGTTAGTGCCTGTCCTGCCTGGGGGCTGTGTGTCTGCTAATGCCCCGAGGGAGGTGTTGGGGACTTTGGAAAAGCTTGGCTACGTGCTACGGGAGGGACCTTAGAGACTAAGGGTCTGGGATGGTCGCAGGGTTGCATGAGAGGCTCCAACAGTGCAAAGACCACCTCACCTTGGGAGCTGAGCAGCTCTTAATAGAGCAATTCATCTGAATCAAGTTGGAAAGATATTATTGGGCTTTGTTTTCAGGGAAGCCTTGGCAAGCTACAGAGACCGTTATGGCTGTTGTCCTTGGGAAGCACGCAGGTGGACACACCACCCTCCAGAGAGGGGCTGAACTGAAGCCCACCCCACACAGCACAGTCCCGTACGAGCCATCCCACATCCCGGTGCCAGTGATGGAGGCCCCCGGAGCGCTCACCTATGCATACATTCTCATCATCCAGCTCTGCCGAGCTGTTGCGGTAGAAGCCCAGGCGGCAGTGCTGGCAGTGCTGGCCCCTCGTGTTGTGCTTGCAGCTCACGCAGGTCACCACGTTCAGGAAGTCGATGTAGCTGCAGCGGTTGGAGTGGCCGTAGCACTCGCAGTCTGCGGAGAGGAGGAGAGAGCTGGGGAGCTGGGCCGGGAGCATCCTCCCTCGTGCCAGGCAGAGGTGAGGAGCCACAAGGCTTTGGAGGAGGATCCTGCTCTGGTGAAATGCCACAGGCACCACTGACACAGGGCTGGGGAGGGCTGGGCAGGATGAGTGCGCAGAGCGACTGCGGCTCCTCGCTGCCATGGGGGGATCGGGCGGGAAGGCGTCGCTCAGAGAGCAGATGGGGTCAGGGGGCTCTGTCCCCTGGGGCGAGGACAGGCAGGAGCCAGCCCCCAGCTGTCCCAGGAAATGCATAATCATGGGAGCAGGCAGTGGAGGGGAGTCAGGTGTTAATTAAAGAGCTGCCTTGTTAATGAGCAGAGCTCGGTTTGGGGCCTGGGTTTGGTGCTGTGGGGCTGCAGGACCTGTGAGGGAGCGCTGCTGGGTGCAGAGCCCCAGGGCCTCGCTGCGGCACGGACGGGCGCCCAGGCCCATGGATGGGGCCGCAGAGGGTGCAGCAGCACTCACTGCCTCCAGCAATGGGAAAGCTCTGGACAAAGCACAAGTGGAGCTGAAGCTGCTGCGCGTCCAGGTAAAACCTCGCTGCCTCTGGCTTTTTCCCCTCCGTGTCCCCTCCTGGAGTGCCCCTTTGCTGTTGTACCTCCCAAACCAAAGCTGGCTGTGAAGTACGGTGACTCTCAAGTTAAATGCTTAAAATGGGTCTATGCAAGGAAGAGGGGCTTGTGTGGGGCCCTTTGACAGACGGGGGATGAGTGCGGGAGGTTTGAACCAGGGCTGCCTGGCACAGCACGGGGACAGCTGCGAAGGCCGCTGGCGGGGCGGGAGATGTCACCATGGCTTGGCCAAGCGCTGCTCCTGTCCCCAGGGCTGACCTCTCTCGGCTGTAGGCACGTGTTAGAAAACAACCAGATAGGTTTAATTTGCAAGCGGAGGAATTTCAATACTTGATGCTTTGTGGTTGTTTTTATACCGTGACTTGGGACGGTGACTACCTTCCAGTGTTAGATTCTGGGCGCTGGATCTTTCTGGGAGTTTAATAGTGTAACGTGGGAGGGGAGGACCTACTCTAGTTGCCTTGTGGCCCAGCTGTCCTGGCCAGGAGTGGCCCAGCCAGCACGGCCAGCAGATAACATGAGCAGAAACAGTGTCAGCCAGGTCTGAGCTTCCCCAGCCTCCCCAGAGGAGGAGGGAGACTCGGAGCTGTGGTTCTGATCCAAGCTCTAGCATTAAACATTCAAGGATGGTAGAGGGATGGGAGGGTGTGGGTTGGCATGCACATGCGACTGGAGGAGGAGACTTGGCTCAATGAAATGAAGACCAGGGAAGATGGAGCAGGGCAAAGGTTTCCCCATGGTTCACAGCTGCCTGAGGAGGAGCGGAGTCCGCTGTAATCTTGACCTTCTGTGAAACAACTTCTGCATGTTTGACCAGTACCCAAAGAATTTCAGCTCAAATACTTCCTGCTGCTGCAATTCCCAAGCGTTGTTTCACCCCAGGGATGCACTCCTACATACAGCTAACCACAACTCAGATAGACAAACCCTTCCCATCTTCTCCATGTCGGAAGCTGCTGGACCACATCACCTGGGCAAAGACTGGGAGCTCCCTCCTCTTACCTTTATATGTTTCAATAGGAGCCACTGGGCCAGAGTCTGGTTCAAGTCGGATGAGTTTTGAGCTCTTTGAGGATGCTTGAGAGAAATCAGAGACACGTTTTTTTCTCACCGCTTAGCACCGCTCCGCGTCCTACCCTACTGCAAGCAGCTCTGCTACGAGAACAATGCCGAGCTGAGCCAAGAACACCGCTCTGGCAGCACTGGCATCTATTTCTGCACCAGACAGCTGGTAGCTGCTAAATTTCTCTTCTTCTCCCCTCCTCAAAGTGTGATGTATGAAAAACTCAATGCACAGCGCCATTGCAATGCGCAGAGCCGGGAGGAGCTACTGACACATCCCCCATCTATGCACGTTCTGTGGCGTGAATCGGGTTATTCAGGATAACGATCTACAAGTCTGAACTGCTTAAAAAAAAATAATAATTCTACTGGCCATGGCCTCAGTTTGATGGAGGTCATGCCAACTGGCACCCAAAAAGCTGCTAGGAGCTCAGCTAGGAGGAGGAAGGCTATGGAGGTGGTATCTGGCAGGGCTTGCTACAGGGTCCTGCAGAGCACGCGCCGCTCCAGCCCGGCTCGTCCCCACCAGCACGTACCTGGCTTCTTCCCATGCCTCTTGCCTGCAGAGTGTGCTGTGCGCCCTGCTTTGCTCTTCGGAGCCGCTACATCAGATGATAAAACATATCTGAGTGCTGTGGTGGGGAGAGGGCTCCCAGGGCCAGCCCAGCATGGTTGGGCTGGGATATTTCCTCAGGGTAAGGGGCTGCCCCAGCTGGGATGGTGCTTCCTTGGGGTTGTGTTGCCAACCAGGCCCCTGTCCCACCGAGAATAACCAGGGCACTGGGGGTAAAGGCCGTTGCTTCCAAATTGAACTGATGGGATTTGGTGCTTGGGGGAGTTTTGTCTTTTGGTAACCCCAGTAAGGGGCAAGGCTGAGCAACACTGAGGTCCCACGGGGTGTTTAGGAACAGGTCCCACCAGTGTTTGTGGCGCGCCAGTCCTTGCACAATGCTGCGGTGCTCAGGGAGGTGCAGGGTGGGCACTGCTAGCTCCATCCCCCAGGTGCTGGTCACGTCCCTACAGTGACAGCAATGGCAGGAGGTGGCCATGCTCCCCACCCCCAGGGCTCAGCCATGGTCAGAGAGGGCCCACCCCTGCCCCTGATGCCATGTGTGAGGCACCAGGGACTCCTCAGGTCTCCAAGGCTTCCCCTGGTCCCATGGTGGGCTGGCACAGTGCCCAGACCCTCTTCCACCAACACGGCCTCTCCAGCCACCATGGCCATGACGGGCCACCATGGCACCCAGGCCCTGCTCTGCCACCACGGCCTCCTCATCCCCTGGCACGATGGCCGAGCATGGAACATGGCAGCCTCTGCTCACAGGCATTCAGTAGCAGACCGGCCCAGCTCAGGGGGCCCAGGGCCTGTTGTCCCTGCCGTGAGGGAAGTGGGGCAGCCCAGAGAGGCAGGAGCAGCTCGCTAGGTCCCCGGAGTGTTTCAAAGCCCCACATCTTGGCAGTGGGTGCTGCAGGTGGCCCTGGGGGCCACATCCCTGCGTGGAAGCCCCCATGGTTGTCCCTATCCCTCACAAGGAGGGGTCATGGCTGTGAGGAGGCTCCATGGTCTGTTGGGAGCAGAGTGATCCGCTAACAAGACTTGGTCCTGCTGGGCCAGATCAGCAGATCCGCCCCATTGATTCTGCCCGATTAATTTTGGCTGGGAGAAGGTGCATGCCCCTCATGCCATGGCAAGGACCCCCTTCCCAAAGCACCTGAGTGGCCCATGGTCTCTCCTGGGGCCCAGGGACAGCTCTGCAGCTATCCCAGCCCTAAACACATCTCTGAAAAGATCTCTGTGGGGCTGGATAAGCAGAACCAAGCTGAGGTGGACCCTCTGAGTGGGAGAGTGGATTGTACAATGGTGGTTCGTGCTGAGGACGGGTGGGTTGTCCTGACCTACAGGAACTGGGGGAGAAACCTGTCCTGCTGTCCTTGGGGAACAGGCATGGCCTTACCTCGGATGTTCTCAGGAGGATCTAGTGGCTTCAGCTTGGGTCCAAGTGCTGCTGTGTTTGGTGGGCTCTGAACAGCTTACGGTGGCATCAGTTAGAGAGAACATCAGATTTAATACAGATCTCCCTCTCGTTTGCTTAAAGAGGTGGCAGAAGCTCTAAGCAGGTATCTGGGGTGTGTTGGTGGAGCCGTATCTAGTTGAGGATGTGTTGAAGCAGGAATGAGAGACAAAGTCTCCTGGAAATTAGAGTCTTTAAGTGTGAGGAGAGACAGAAAAAGTACTCCTAAGGGGAGGGCGCAGGAGCTGCTGGATGGGTGAGTGTTGGCTGTTGGCATTCCATGGCCCAAGCATGGACAGGAGCTGAATCTGCAGACCACTGTCAAGACTCAGGAGCCCGCCTTGTTCAGCACAGACTGTCAGCATCACCCGGCACTGATGCCCATGGTGTAGGCCTATCTCTTGTCACTGTATCGGAGACAAATTTTGTCTCTCTGTGAGGCCAGAGATAGGCCCAAGCGTGCAATTTCCAAAAGCCTCCATTTCAGCACTTTCTGCCCCCCAGCTGAGTATTTACAGACACTGGGTTCTGCCCTGGGCCCAGCTTCAGCAGTTGTTCTGCACTGGAAGGGATGCTAATGTCTACAGCTGGAGCAAGCTACAGGCATCTCAGCTGGGAAACAGGACTTGAGCACCAACGGGCAACTGCCAAAGGGTGTGTGTTGGTGGGAACCCCGAGGAGGAGAAACTTCAGCCTCAAGAACCAGCATGAAGCCTCCCAAGGTTCCCACCAGGAGCAGCTCACCTGAGGCAGTCAAGCAGGAGACCTGAAGCAAGGAAATACATAAGAAGGCATCTATGCTACAAATGACACAGGCCTATCTATTTACAAAGTTATTCTGCTCTTCAAACAGACTCCAGTCGCAGGAGACGACAGGATTTCCATGATCCTCTCCATTCACCCCAGCAGCAAGCTGTGAACAATTTCTTCTACCACTTGCCATCCTCATCTTTCATGTCTATGACTAAACCCCGAGGCTCAATCCAGCCGTACCAGATTCCCAGCTGCATGTCGGGCACAGACAAACCCAGAGCTTTTTCCCAGGTGGGAGGAGGAGAGAGCTGCATGGAAAACGGAGATGCAGAACTAGAAGCTAAAGCGTTCGCTGAGCGTCGGGAGCTGGGACTCGCTGGCAGGACCCAGCTCAGCCGCGCGTCTCCTACCTTCTGCTCCGGGGCCAGCCTTGCCCGCTTGCAGCGGGGCAGCCGCTGACAAGCCGGTGTAGTCTTGCAGTGACCAGAGGGGAAAACGGTGTTACCGGGTGTGCTGAGGGGAGCTGGCAGGCAGCGAGGAGCTCTGCAGCGCTCTGCTGGAGGGCCAGGCCTTCGGAGAACCACGCCAACCCAGCCCTGGGCTGCGCGGGTTTTCCGTGCCAGTGCTGCTGCTGGTATGGGGCAACTGGTGTGTCCTCGGGCACTGGAGAGGGCGGGCAGCCCTCGCCAGGCGAAGGGCAGGAGGGTAGAGGTGTGCTGAGCTGCCCGATCTCAGCCCCACCTGAACGCGTGGCGTTTTGCTCGTGTGTTTGCATAAAGACCCCAGCAACTGATCTGCACCCCTCTGCTTTGAAGTAATGGAGCTGAGAAATAGCACAAGTGTCTTAGGATGGAGGCACGAAGTTCTGGTTTCTAATCCAAACTTCTAGGCCCTCCTTCAGGCTCTGCTCTTTCCTCAGAAATACCAATTAAAGAATTTGCAAGCCACTGCAGAGAAATTAAACCAGCAAGAAATTTATAGATCACTTGTTTGATTTCCCTGCAAATCCTCACCCCCACTGGCTCCATACCCCTCCCCGTCTCCTCAATATTGGTAACAATCTTCAGGTTTGCTAGAAAACAAACCAAGGGATAAAATTTTAAAAGCCATATTATTAATTTCAAGCTCCAGTTGGGTAACATAAGGAGGAGGAGGAAAAAAAAAATAAATCTCGATCCTTGCCAAGTTTCAAAGGACAAACCCGAGTAGGAGAGAAATGTGATTTCCCAGCCTCGTCAAGGGGATGATAAACAATGCAGAATAAAAAAAGAAAAAAAATATATATTTTTTTAATGATGAGCTTTAAGAGAAGGTGATAGACATTGTCCTTTTCAGCTGGAAAGTAGAAACCAATTGATATTAATATGGTGTTAAAGAGAATATGAAAAAAGCCCTGTGCAAATTGGCAAGGGTTTAATTAGAGTCACAATAAAAAACAGCCCTGGAGGCATTTTGCTTTTTAGTCATTCACATACACCTCCACTCAATCGCATTTACAGAGCCAGGAAAATTATTAATGCTCATTATCCTGAGAACCTTTCCCTTGTAGCTCTGGGACATTAATGGACAGTTTTACATTTTGGGAGGGGGAAAGACATGTTTCACCCCCAGAGCCAGTTCATACAAATGGGAATCACTGGGCAGCTCTTATCTCGGGAGTTCTTATCAGTCCTGATGAAAATTGCTCGTCTTGGTGGATTTCTGAGGAAGTAGAATAAATTAAACCAAGAAATCACACTTCATAGCAAAAACCATTGCAGCGCTGGAGTAGTGGGGATGGACCCTGAAGAAGTCCTTCTCAAAACATAAACACGGGGTCCCCTTTCTGCGGGACCTACACAGAGCCAGGCTTCTGGTGCTCTCTTTCTGCTGGAGCCCCTAAACATCAAACAGGGTGCAGGTTGGTTTTGTTTTTCCTGGAGGTGAATTGGCACTGCTGAAAGTGCTATAAACCAGAGGGGGGAAACATGAAAGCAGGAAAAAAAGAAAAAAACAACAAAAAAAAAAAACAGCTTTTTTTTTTTCTTATTTTGAATGTGGGAAAAATGTAACAAATGGCAAGGAAGAATTTGACAGACTTCAAGGAAGGTTTCAAAATAACAGAACTGTAGAAGGCAAATGAGAATAGCACTTAATTCATCCTCCTTAAGGTAACTCTCTGATTTCCCTTCTTTCTACCCATTTTGGCAGCCTTGACTGCCTTCAGACCACAGACCGTGTCCACAAACTCACTCTTCTCCCATCTCTCACCACACAACAGGTGACCAGGCACAAAAGCATCCTACGAACATGATGACAGCTCCACCTTGACCACAGAAAACACCACGAGCAGCCAAAGGAAGCAGATGTCTAGCAGATTCATGCAACCCAGAGACAACCCAAATCTAATCTACTCCTCTAGCCTACGTGCTACGTTGCTTTCTGCCTTGCCACTACCCACTAGTGTGCGGAGGCATGAAGGAGAAGGGAAAAACACATCAGTCTGGATTTAAATACCTGTTTTTTTCTGTGTTGCTCTCACGGGCACAGAGGCAGTGAACTCAGAGGCTGGTCTGATGCTGCTTGCTTATGGTGGGAAGCAGAAATTCAGAGGGCAGAAGACTGTGTGTAAATTAGGGTTAAACATCACAGAGATGGGGTAAGACTCTAACAAGATGGGTTTTTTAAATGGCTGGCTGGCTTTAAGGCGAGGAGGGATTCCTTTAAAGCTTCTGAAAGTCAGAAGGGAGGTAACAACAGAGTATCTCATTCTGGGACTCTGACCCAGCTTGGGGCTATTGCATCTCCAGGCATCTTACCAGGAGCCCGAAGGGTCATCTCTTTAACAAGGTGTTTCCCTTGAGGTCCAGGCAAGTTATATTCACAGCCCCTTGGGGATGTCATGGTATTGAAAGAAGTACTTCACATTTCGCGGGACAGGAGAGGGAGGAACATCTCTAGTCAAAAGCAGATCAGAATTAGACTGTTCCTTGATTCCCTATTGTTGGTCAAAGGCACAGAGTGCACCTGTGGCATCAAACCCAGCATGCTGCCCATGTAAGAGAGCAGGTCCCTGAGTTGTGGGGTGGCCCTGACTACATTTTTATTTGGAGCAGCCCCCCAAGGGACTGTCTCCATCCCCAGGCACACCATTCTGGGATGGGACCCAGCTCTGCCGCAGCATGGATAGGGGCCTGGATGGGGGCAAGGAGCTCCGCGCTCAGGCCTGACCATATCAAGCTGGAGATGTGATGGCTGGACTGCAATTTATTTTGTCCCTTGGTATCAGTTAATGAAAGCACTACGAAAACATTTTCTCTGCCCCCAAAGCAGGTTTTGGCAAAGCAATAAACCCTGAGACGTGTGATGCCAGGTCCCTCGGGGCAGTTTAGCAGGAGAGACTACCCCACCACCCCCAACCCCACACAGATGCCATCCTGCCCGCCCCAGATGTACAGCGCGAGAGGCGGAGCACTGCAAATCATACACAGGACAGACACTAAACACACCATCCACACGCACGCAGCACTTGCTAGAAAAATAGAGCTAAAATGTCGCTATGGGTGAGCATGGATAAAAATCAAATGACCCCAGGAGTGTGGTGCGGGTGTCGATGCGATCCCCTGTCACTGCTGAGGCTGTGGCGATGGTGTGAGCTCCGGGCAGGGGTGGTGGATGACCCCCCCCTCCTGCACGCGTACAACACAGACCTGCGTGAGGAGCACTTAACATACACGAGACTCGCACTCTTTTGCCCAGGGTCACTCCAACTCCATGGAAGTTGGAGTTAAACCCTTGGCTTCCTGATTAAGTACTCAAGCAGGGTACTTCCATGAATATATCTATATTTGCATAAACATGCAATCAAGTTTCCTCATCCCTTTGACTGGCTTCTGGCAGCTCCCCCAGACAGACTGTTACTAACATACTGTGGGTGTAAAACGTCCTCCTGGGAAATATCAGGCCCAGAAAGCATGGCAAGGGGAGGAATGCGTGTCTAATTCCCCCATGAGAAGCTTAAAAAAAAAAAATGTCCTGCTGTTAAGTTTTATCTGCTCATTTCCAAAAGACAAGTGAAAACACTGTCTCCTTGTTCACGGGGAGAGGGAAGGAGGAACTCCCAGAAAAAGGACAAAAGTTTTCCTCCACAGGGTGATTTTAGAAATTAGGAAGGGGCGTTTCTGGCATGCGTGTGAGCTCCAGCCCTGCACGCTCCCTCGCTGCTTGTACAGCAGCTGCCTGGGGAATGTTAGAGCGCAGCTCTGCTCGAGGAAAACTGCCCTTGAAGATGCAGCCAGCCTGCATTACATCCTTGAGGCTGGCCACAGGGACTCGATGCGGGGCTGGAAGAGCCAGCAAGGACAGAGGCAGCTTCTCCCATCCCTGGCATGGCTGCTCTGCGTCAGGTGGCAAGTGGCAGGAGGTGGCCGCTCTCACGCCGAGGCTGCAGCTCCCCACGGGGATGGTTCCTCATCTGAGTGAGCAGCTGGGGGGTGCAGAGCAGCACCCAGCCTTCCCCATCGCGCTCCGAGAGCAGCACCCAGCAAATACAGTGTGGGCAACTCTCCTGCCAGCTCTGCTATTGCATGTGGAGTTCAGGGATAGAGCAGCATGGGGTACAATTTTCCTCTCCTTCCAGCCAGACAAGACTGGATACGTCATTTAATTTTACGGTGGGACAGTAAAGCCTTCATTGCTTTCCTGCCCTGCCTTGTGATGGAGCTGTAAGAGAGCATCTCTCACAGCTGTGCCAGCCCTGCGCAGGACAACATTGCCAAGTGGCTCTAGGAGGGATGGATTTTGAAAAGCTTTTTAAAAAAAAAACAAATTTGAAAGAAAACAGGGAAAAGTTTTGCTTCCCCCCGCATCCAGTCCTGGCTTCCCTTCTTGCTGCCCTGATGATAAGAGTGAGAGCAGAGTGAGATCAGCCAGGGAAGGGGAATGTCAACCCCTGGTGTGGTTCTCTTGGCTTTGAGGTGGATGAGACGGGGAGTCTAAACAATCTTAGATTTCTCTGCAAAACAGTGGACCCGTTGTGGCTGGTTCCCCGCTTATAGGGGCCATAACACTTGCGCCTAGCCCATGTTACATGTGTCAGTGTCTGTGGACGCAACAGAGAGAACAGCAAACTAGGACTGCCCAGAGGCTTGGGGACATGGACAGAGTCAGGGTGATTTTTATCCATGTCCCTTTATCATCCTACAAAGCAGATAACCAGGGCCACGGACACGGCAGCCCCGTGCGTTCCCCACTGCCATCGGAGGAGCTGGGATGGGGAGCAGCTGAAAAGAGGAGCCCAGCGGCAAAGTCCTGGCCCTCTGAGTGAGGCAGGGAGTGTGGCACCCACCTGGCTGGGTGGTGGTGGCAGCTAGGGGGGTGCTGGTGGTGGTTGCTGGTGTGGTGGTGGTCGTTTTTGCTGTGGTGGATTTTGCAGTGACGACCCGCTGCCGTCGCTCATACGCTGGCAAGCAAAGAGAAGAGGCAGGAGACACTTACTGGGGGGGAACAGAGGGTTTCCTTGCCAGCCCACACACCCGTGAGGCTGCTGCTGGGCTGAACTGGTGACCGATTTCTCAGCATGGTTACAACTGGAGCACCAAGAGGATTAAGGCGCTGGCGGCTCGATGACGCTGGATGCAGCGAGTGTGGGCAGGGGCCGGAGGCTGTGCCAGATACTGGCTTAAATACTTACAGCTCTATCAGCAACTAGCTGCCAAGTAAGCTGACAAGGGGAAATGAAAGCACACCTGGGCGGAGATGGGGTGGAGAGCGGGTGGGGGGGTGCAGAGGAGCCCCCGGCTAGCCCTGCCTGCAGGTGGGCTTCCACCGCCTGACGTCTCCTTGCCCACCCCAGCTCCCCACACAGCTCCCGTCCCTTCTGCCACCCCGCAGGCAGCAAACTACCTGGCACCACCAAACCCGACCCGTACCACTGGCGTGTACCCATTTCCACTGGCACCTTTCGTTCATCGGGGCCAATTAATTGATGGCTCCGCGTCAGCGAGCCCCCCCGAGCTGCACGGGAGTGATCCTGGGTGTGGTGCCCAATCCCCCCCGTGCTCGCCACAACAGCCTGAACTAAAATAACACTCAGAACACAAATTCCTACTTAACTTACACCTGCTGCCCTCCTGTCCTTGTTTGTCCCACTGCTTCATGCAGATTATCATGCTTAATTTCATAATAGCCCTGAGCTAGTTTAAATACTTAATTTAGGTCACTTCTAGTCTCCTATGTGGGTTGAATAATCTCTCCTTAACTGGCCTTGGACACAAATCCCTTCTGTCCACCTCCAGTGCGTTGCTCCCAGCACCCTCCCAGCTACTCCCTAACGGAAAATTTTGATGGGAAACATTTTCCAGTGAAACAAAGGTACCAGTAAGGCTGTCTCTTATACACA